TCAGTATGATGACTATTTTGAGGCACTGCCCCCTTGGACATGGTCCAGTGACTTTGAATTAATTAGCAATTTTCAATGTTAAGTTTTCTGCTTAAGTTAGATTGATAGGAACTACTTACAACGATGTTTTGTATAAAGTAACATTACTGTCTGTACATCTCAGTTTGTCGACCATTTTCAGGCCCTGCCCATTAAATCATGGTCCAGTGGGTGAATTGATAAGCAATGTTGCTGTCCATTAGATTTTTTTTTTAATTTTATGCCGATAGGCGAGGCATATCTCTGTGTCAACAGTTTATTTTTTATAAAATCGGTATTTAAATAATCTCAATAATATCCAAGTAGTAAAATACGGAAGAACAAATTTAAAATTCTTATAAGACTCATACCGTGCCGACATTATTGCCTATTTCGACTGTTAAACCACCAATATTTCTGTTTTATAAAAATCAAGCATTCATACCAGTTTAGCTTTATTTCAGAAAAATACACATTTTTTCGATTTCCATTTTTAATGAATTATCGGTATTCTGCTAGCCGTAAGGATTGAAACAATATCTTATCTTTCAAAATTAGTTGAGTAATTAATATTTTATGAATGTTAGCAGCTGACACTGAAAAAAATGGATTAAAGAAACATCCAAAGTCAAAGAGTTAAACGTTATTTCTTGCTCACTTTATGCTTCAAAAACTTTTCCCCTTGTGTCGGTCTGTTTTTATGTTTAAATTCTTAAAATAACATTTGCAGTGGAAAATAGTACAATGTTAAGCTATTTTAAAGCTCTTTCATCTTAATTTGGATGTATATAGCAAAACAAAGCCTTGGTTAAAAAAGGGAAATCAATTTCTAACAGCGGTGACAACTTGAGATTGAAATCATACAGGATCGTTTAAACGTTTTGACAAATATTTCCATGAGAAAGCTACGGCCCAATCAAGATCAAGTTTATAATCATCCTCATGGTATCTTAGTTAATTTGTATTGAGTATGTCCGCCAACCAAAAAATGACATACTTGTCTAAAAATAGGACATAGGGGGTAAAATCAAGTTTTTATGGGTTACCTCGAAAATTATAAGGAATAGAGTTTTTATCCTGAAATGAGTATTTTTGCTCGATTTTTGTGTTTTTCATTTTGTTCTGCTGATTTTTTTTTTATAAATAGGTTTTTTTCCTGAAAACTATAACGGATAAAAGAAAACGAAACAGAATCCCTTTTCAGTAGAAGTTTACAAAATAAACTCTACGTGACGTTTTCCTGATAGGTATTATTCCCGTAAATGACAATATATATATTATATAATGCTTGTTGTATTTAGCTACTATCTTAAAAATTATAAAAGATATAGATAAATCTATAATCATAAAAAAATATCAACAAAACAAGAGCTACAAATAAATCAAGCAAAACCGAAATAATTAAAAGTATTTTTAATATATACCACCTTTGATAAGTGTTTAGTATGACGATAAATTTTCACTTTTTTTCTCGTACTAGGAACAACAAAATTATTTATTTTGTAAATATTATTTCCGTACTCCATGTATACCTTACAACAATTTTTTTTTATTTACCTGTGTACGTTATTTTATTTGGCGGCATTTTGTCCAAGGTTATGGTTGTCTTTCTGATATTGTTTTACATCTAACCCCCTTGTTTTATTAATTTTGTATTTACACTGTATCATAGAATAAATTTATTCGTTCAGTGTATGTTCACTTGTTTTTGTTAATATGTCTTTTGATTGAGTTAAGCCATTTCAATTGATATTTTATAGTGTGTCTTTCTATGTTGTGATGTTACACTATTGTTTCAGGTAGGGTGAAGGTTGGCGCCTATTAAAACGTTCAAACTCGCTGCATTTGTTTGCACCTGTCCTAAGTCTGGAACCTGATGTTCAGTGGTTGTCGTTTGTTGATGTGTTTCATAAGTGTTTCTCGTTTCTCGTTTTTTATATAGATTAGACCGTTGGTTTTCCTGTTTGAATGGTTTTACACTTGTCATTTTTGGAGCCCTTTATAGCTTGCTGTTCGGTGTGAGACAAGGCTCCGTGATGAAGGCCGTACTTTGACCTTTAATGGTTTACTTTTACAAATTGTGACTTGGATGGAGAGTTGTCTCATTGGCACTCATACCACATCTTCTTATATCTAATTATAGGAGTTATTTTTGGCTATTATCTAAAACTTTTAAAAACAGAGAGCACCTGCAAATTGATCAGTAAGATCAGAGCTAAAAAATAGTTAGATATCCAAAATTGTCGATCGACTACTAAAGGAATGATGATTTCTACCATTTTTTTTGCATTTTTGGAAAATCATGAAAACAAAAAGCGAGAGAGAGATAAAAAAAATCATCAACAAAACCAAATCTACAAATAAGCAATCATGACTGAAATCGTCAATTAACTTCTTAACGAGTAATTGTCCTTAGATGACAAAGTTTAGAGTTTTGTGCATTCTTGCTATTACTAACATGAGCAACACGGCGGGTGCCACAAGTAAAGCAGGATCTGCTTACCCTTTCGGAGCACCTGATATTACCCCTAGTTTTGGATGGGTTCGTGTTGCTCAGTCTTTGGTTTTCTCTGTCGTGTTTTGAGTAGTGTTGTTTGTCTGATGGTCTTTTTCTTTTTAAGCCATGGCGTTGTCAGTTTGTTTTCGACTTGTGGGTTTAATGACCTTTGGTATCTTTCACCTCTCTTCTTGAAAAAAATGTTTAGATAGACAGAAACTACTAACAACCAAGATGATCATCAAGACAAGACAAAAAGTGACGAAAATAATTAATTGACTCCTCATTATAAGTAATAGGGGTCATTGTCCTTAAATGACCTTACCATTTTTAATAATTGAATGTTCTCCGATTTGGAATATATATAGATGAACCTAGACTCTATCTTACTTATTGTGGGAAAGAAGGTTGTTACTGATAATAATGATTTTTTCGAGATGGCTTGTAAAACTAAGATTTGTTGGCAGTATTGGCCACAGCTTTATTATTATTAACTCAAATTTAAATATTTACACACAGATAGATTCAAAGATATATAGTATTCAACTAGATATATTTATAGATAACTCAGTGTTTGCATAGATCATTTTTTGGTTACCTCTGGCAACCTACAGATAACTAGATAGATATATATATATATATATACACAAGTCTAAATTGAAAACAACGTTCAAACCTATGATTGCATTGGATAAAAACCGCAATTTTTATACGTGTGCATGCAAAACAAATTTCTTGGTAGAGGGGTCTAAATACAGCACAAACAACATTTTCAAAAGACCAAAAAAGAGAAAAAGTATATTTTAACAAAACGCATTTTGACTAGCAGGTCGAACAACGGATGTTCTTAAACCCTGCTGACTGCCATTGGCGATTGCCAAATAAACTGATCACCAGATGTAACAAAATGGATCTTAACTATTAATTTAATACCAAACAGAAAGCAATAAACTTGCGGAAAAGATGGTATACCGCAAATAAAAGGTGCAAAAATTAGTACATCATATCCGGATTTCGACAATTAATGTCTCTTCAGTGATGTTAGGAATCGAAACGGTATTTGGAAGGCCATATAATTTACCTCAATTTAGGATAGACTCTTGAATTTTGAAGAGTCGAAATAGGATGAACGGATCATATAAACCCGAAGGCAAATATAATACAAGCCCAAACGAAAAAATATAAACAAGTCTAAATTGAAAACAACGTTCAAACCTATGATTGCGTTGGATAAAAACCGCAATTCTTATACGTGTGCATGCAAAACAAATTTCTTGGTAGCGGGGTCTAAATACAGCACAAACAACATTTTCCAAAAGACCAAAAAAAGTGAAAAAGTATATTTTAACAAAACGCATATATACATATATATATATAAATTGCGGTTTTCATACAACGCAATCATAGGTTTGAATGTTGCTTTCAATTTGAACTTGTTTATATATATATATAGATAGATAGATGTATGATCCTGGGATACAGCGATCAACTAACTTAGCTGTTGGATCCTGGGATACAGTGATCCATTAAATGTAATTTATCACTAAAGTATAGACCAACTGTAACTATAGTTTCGGTACTTATACATCCTTCAGATTTCAAATGTTTGGCTTTGAGCGTTCCTGATGAAGGTAAATCCAGAAAAGCGCTTCGGACGCATGAAATTATTAAACGTGTTGTTTTCAATTTTTTACATCACTGGGTCGATACCTGTCCCCGAGGGTATCATCAGCTCAGTAGTCAGTACTTCGGTACTGACATGACTTATAACAAACCTTTCTAAAATTGTCCGTTTATAAATTTTGAAATTATAAAGAAACCAAGGTTTCAAGTCCCTCAGGCAAAGTTGATCTTAGATGAATTTGGCTATTTGTTTTATGTATTTTTGTCATATAGCTCTTCAACTGTTTCGGTACTTATACATCCTTCAGATTTCAAATGTTTAGCTTTGAGCGTTCCTGATGAAGGTAAATCCAGAAAAGCGCTTCGGACGCATGAAATTATTAAACGTGTTGTTTTCAATTTTTTACATCACTGGGTCGATACCTCTGCTGGTGGACTATCAGTCCCCGAGGGTATCATCAGCTCAGTAGTCAGTACTTCGGTACTGACATGACTTATAACAAACCTTTCTAAAATTGTCCGTTTATAAATTTTGAAATTATAAAGAAACTAAGGTTTCAACTCCCTCAGGCAAAGTTGATCTTAGATGAATTTGGCTATTTGTTTTATGTATTTTTGTCATATAGCTCTTCAACTGTTTCGGTACTTATACATCCTTAAGATTTCAAATGTTTGGCTTTGAGCGTTCCTGATGAAGTAAATCCAGAAAAGCGCTTCGGACGCATGAAATTATTAAAGGTGTTGTTTTCAATTTTTTATCACACGCAGCGAAGTTGGCAATTTGATCAGGTACGGTATATATCAAACTCAACCGTACCGGATCAACCGCCACTTAAGTGGGGTTGAAGCTGCGATTGGGCTGTGGACCAATACTGGTTTAAAGATAATTAAGATATATACATACTACCAAATTTATCTGGATATGTCGAAGAACCAGAACAAATAAACATTTCAAGTGCACCTTGCAAAGTATTCAGAAATATGTCATATCCTAGATCTGTCAAATGAACGCCATCTTCCTTTAAAAACGTATTAGTAGGAAATATATCTGGATACTTTATATAATGTCCCCCATTCTTTAACACGAATGATGCTATGGCACTATTAATCCTAAGTCTGCATGTCATCATGCAATCATGACTCTCTGAGTAACGCTAATGTGTTCTCGGTAAAATCTGGGACCAAACAATCGAAGTATTGGGTAAATAACGTGTACCTTCTCATACTTACTTACTTATAATTACTTATAGTTGATTTCCAGTACAGGATCCCTCAAGGTTCCTCTTCACCAGACTCGTAATTTAATGTTTTTCTATTACTGTTTTGTCCGTGACTTCCGGATATTTCTGCTCTGTAGTCATTATAGTATATCTCTTCGTCTGACCAAAATTTGTCTAATCGGTTTTTAAAGGCATTTATTGATGGTAACTTTGTTATTTTATCTGGTAGTTTGTTCCAGGTTTTAGCAATTCTAACAGAGAAAGAGTGTTTACGGATATTGGATTGGAATCTTTGATGAATGACTTTATTACTGTTGGTCCTGCTACTATATCTTTGTTGAGAATCGTCTGCCGTTCTTAAAAATGAGCTTACTTCTTGGTCGTAGTATCCATTCATTGTTTCGAAGGTTTCAATCATATCCCCTCTTATTCTCCTATAAGATAATGTTGGTAAGCCTAGTTTTTTAAGTCTCTCTGGGTAGCTCATGTCTTTGAGACCTGGTAATTGTTTTGTTACCCTTCTGTGGACACCTTCTATTTTGTCGATATCTTTTTTCTTGTATGGGGACCAGACTGAGCTAGCATAATCTAGGTGGGTTCTAACCATGGTTTTGTATAATGGCATGAATGTCTCAATTCCCAAGTACTTAAATGTTCTTCTAAGAACTGCAAATATTTTCATATATTTACATTTTTCCGGGTGAAATTTGAGTAGCCATTTGTCACTCCAGGATTCCATCTTGTTAAGGTCTTCTTGTAGAATTTGTTTTTATTATTCTAAAGATCTTGGTATCATCCGCAAATAGGTATGCATCAGAATCCACTTGGTCTGGAAAATCGTTTATATATAGAACAAATAGTAATGGTCCTAGTACTGATCCTTGGGGTATCCCAGATGTAACGTTAGCCCAGTCTGATTCTTCACCATTCACTATGACCTTTTGTTTCCTATCTTCTAAGAAGCTAGCTTGTTATCCACCCTACTTTATCTTCATTGACACCTAGATTTTTGATTTTGGCTATTAATCTTTTATGAGCTACCTTATCAAAGGCCTTCATAAAATCAGTATATATGCAGTCTATGTCTAAACCTTGATCTAATGCCTGTGTCCACTTATCAATCAGTTCTAATAATTGAAGACCAGTTGACCTCCCTGCAATAAATTCGTATTGCTTTTTAGAGAATAGGTTATTCTTTTTCATATGCTCTATAATAAATTCACGCAATATCTTCTCCATTATTTTGCATACTACAGATGTCAAACTGACTGGTCTATAACTTTTGGCTAGTGACTTGTTTCCCTTTTTAAATATAGCACTTATCATAGCATTTTTCCAATCGTTAGGTACTGTCTTACTTTCAAGTGATTGATTATATATAATACATAAAGGATTTGCCAATGATTCAGCGATCTCTTTTAGCAGCCTAGGGTCATAGGTGGCCTTAATTTCATTTCTAAAATAACCTTCTTTCGTCTTCCCCAAATCATTGCCTGCAATATGTATGACAACATATTTCGGGGTTTTTTCATATTTCAGCAGTTTTTTGATAGTCGATTCTAAATCTTTCAAAACCATCCCACCATACCCTTGCCACCAAATATTAACTTCTATTCTTTGGAGACCTAAATGAACACCACCTGTTCTACTTCTTGCGTGCACAAATGCATTTCTTATCAAGGATGAACCTACTATCCATACTGACACGTCTTGGCCTACAATTTAATACATGTATCGACATTAAAATCTTAAATGACCATAGAATTCAACGAAATATAAATCAAAATTATGGTATTCGTATATAACTTTTGAAAGTTTCAGAACTCCAACGACCCATTACTTTGATTTGCTCCTCAGAAAAACCAAGCATAGTTGCTAAAGTCGCACCACCGAATCGAAATGAATGCGTCCCATACTTTGATTGGTCAGAGCAAATATACCCCTGGGCTTTTTTGAGAATCCATAAAACTGATATCGAGTCAAAGGGGAACCATCAAAGTTGCAATATAATTGACCACTAATTGGAGGTCGAATTTTTATATATTCTTGCAAAAATTTAACCGGACAAATTTCATTACCTGATTGTTGGGCCACAATAATTGATGTCCCTCTACCTAACTGATCTGTTTTTGAAGAAGCCAAGTATATTCTGATATTATGATTAGTAACCTCCACATTTCCAATTTTAATGGCATGATTAGTTTCATTAGACCCTTCCCTGCAAGATGTAGTTGTCATTTCAATAACTCGCAGAAGTGCAAAAAATCCCATCGAAAAAGCACTAGAAAATAAGATAGCTTCATATCTGGAGATGCAGAATGAGGGCAAAATCTTTATAATTTTTTCTAATACATCAATAGTAATAGGTAATCTACAGTCAGGTGTCTTTAACTTTAAACTCGCCATTCCATCAATCTTTTTTCTTACAACAAATAATTGAGACAGATCTTCGTAATTATTAATCTTATTATAAAAACTGATGGCTGAGATATAACACTTAACCGTAGATGGGGCCATGTCCAAGCAAGACATGTATGCAATGAACTGAGTAATGTGGTTCAATGGTATTGGAAAACTGTAATCTAATTCAAAACTATCCCTAAATTTAGCCAATGCATTGAAAGCTCGTTGATAAGCTTGAATTGTATCAGGAGCAAGCGAACAATTAATTAATCTGTTTGTTTCAGACTCAATATCAAATCTCTGAACTCTTCTGGGTTGTTTTCTGGAACTGACTCGGCCCCGGGCTCTAGTTCTTTAAATTTGTGCAGTTGAAATCGAGAAATCGAGTCTGCAATTTCATTTCTTAAACCATCAATATGTTGTGCTTTAAACTGAACATTGTGCTGCATTGTAAAAAGAACAAGGGGGCGAATAAATGTCATCACACGCTTCGACTTGGCAGTTTTTTTTATTGATAATGCGTACTAATACCATGTTGTCAATTCGAAATAAAATCTTTCGATTTTTGAAATCTGATGCCCATATAAACATAGCTAAAACAATTGGAACTAACTCGAAAAGGTAATGTCCTTCATGATTGGCATATTTACCCATGCTTCCGGCCATTTATATTGTGCCCATTTACCATCAAAATATGCACCACAACCTAAAGCAGAGTTACCACAGCTGCCAGTGTACAAATGTAACGTTTCATTTGTTATCCATGCATTTTCTGGTAGGTAGCAATCTCCGTTAAAATGTCCCAGAAAAATCAGCCAAACTTTAGCATCTTCTCTGAGATCTCTATTTATTCTAATTGAATAAAAAGGCTTTTTTATTTTTTATAGATCCTATGACGTCATAAAACCTGCAAAGGAAAGCCCTAGACGAAGTAATCGCCCTTGAACAGAAAGCTATCAAACCCACCACTGATTTCAAGTCCTTGTGTTTAATCTTTTTATTAAACAAAATTGGTTCAAGTAAAGACTTCAGCTTTATCAATGATCATATGCATATGCTTTGAAAATGAATGTTTTTATTGGATAATTTAACAGTTTTTACTTTTTATTATATGTTATGATAAATTGGAGTTCAAACTTGTGTATCGTTACTTTTGTTGACTAGTATATAATTTTTTTGCTACATCTGCATACGGATATGCCTCCAGCATTTCATACAAAGCACAAATCTTAATAGGGCTTCTACCAAGTCGCCATAGTTCTGATATTTGGTCTAGATCTTGCTTGTGTGTACTGTATGGCATTTCTTGGGGGAAAATCTGACTCTTGTGTCAGCCCCCTTGGGAGAAACTGAAACTGGGGGCCTGTGCTATATTGTGTATTACCAACATATGGTCTCACATTTCCATATTGTCTTTGACAGTTTATAATTGGATGTGAACCATTACACCTTAAACACAAATGGCTATAAAAACAAGGTTTTTTCCACAGCTTCCATCATAGTTATAACTATAGCATTTATTCCCATAATCACTACCTGCATTAATATTGTTATTAGGTACATTAAAAGACACATTTGAGATATTATTCACATGTTGCAAATATAATAACCACAGATCACTGTCTATATTACTCCATAAGCTAAATGGTTCTTGTGCTTTTCCTAGTCTGTATTGCTCATCGTAATTTTTCCAGCCAAGCCCTTGGTTTCTTTGTGCCCCAAGGCGTATTGTGTGCATATACTTTAACAATTCCCTAAATCGGTTTATGTGCACTGAACAATAAATATATATGAAAATGATGAAAGCATCTGTCCATTTTTCAATATTTGTAATTTTTGATTGTTGGGACACGGGTTGTAAAATGAATTCCCCCTGGACCCATGTCAGTTTTTGTTTGTCAGAACCTGTGCTAACTGAATTGTTTAGTAGACAAACCAAATCTTTGTATTCCCCTTTTAATATGTTTTCCTTAATTGACTGTGTCACATTTATGCCTAAATTCTCGTGAACACTTGCAATTCTATTAGGAACTGGTAAATAATCAGTATTGGTCACATTACCTGTTTGTGACACAAATTCTGTGTTATCACATGTTGGCTGGGGGTCTCTTGGTTGCCATGGTAATGGAACAGGTGACATATCCGGAATGTGAAGAGTATTGTCGGGATTGTGAGGAATTGTTGGCATCAACCTTCTTGTCGTTGATACTGTTGGTATGGCAACGTTTTCAAGTCCAGAAGTTGTATATATAGACTCGGACAAATGACCTGGTCTTGAATCCCTCAGAGTTGATTGCACCAACGATACTCCCTGCGAAGTCACCGGGGTCCTTCTAACATCTGCTCTGGCTGAAGCTGTCCGCTTTCTAGTACCTCGTCTCAACATACTGAAACTCACAAATAGATTTTTCTAAATATATTTTTTTTTAAATTTAGGCGTTTTGTTTGTGTGTGCAACCAAAAGTCCTTTTATTGTAGTGTTTATCAATCAATATATCTTAAAGCTGTAGCCGTTCAAACGATGTATGTATCGTTCTTGTTGAATTGAATGAGTTTGTCGTGTTCAGCAAAGTAATATTTTTCCGCAGCAGAATCAATGGATAAATTATTCACCAAATATATAATCACAACAGAAATATTATATATTGCTTTTAACTTTAGTCGTATTGTGATTTAATACCCTGCAATTCATATTTATTATAATTTTTCTTTTATATCATAATCGACAACACGTGGCGACCATGCCATTTCGACAATAAAAAAATTTCACACTTATTTTATGCAATTGATTGATTTAAACAATTTATGCATTATCCATATGTCTCTTTGCCTACATCTATAAAATACCAACTTCAAATATCCACTAATCCACCTGATTTTCGAAATACTTCTCTCTCTAATTATTTTACGTCTGCTCTCTCGCTGCTCAAAGTTGAAAAGAACGTAAACGTCAAATTTTGACGTCATAACTATACATCTTAACAACTATATATAATATGACAAAGAAAGCACTGCAACGGACGAGATAAAAACTTTTCACTAGAATAACCGAATTTATGTATAATACATAAATTCCATTAATGGTGCTTTTTTTTTAGAAAGTTTGCAATTAAGGCTCTTGAAAGCTTCTAATTTCAAAATCTATATTTCATAGACCCCTATTCTTTATACGACCGTCGTATAATGTTATCACGTTGTCAGAGTTGTCGTCGTCGTCGTCCGAAGACATTAGATTTCCAAACAATAACTTGAGTATAAGTGTATGGATCTCTATGAAATTGTATCATAATGTTCCATACCGCACAGGAAGCTTAAGATATATTTTGGGGGTTATTGTACTAACTGTTTAGGAATTAGGGGCCAAAACAAGCATTTTTCTTTTTTAAGGACAATAACTTGTGTATAAGTCTATAGATCTCTATGAAATTGTAACACAAGGTTCCATACCTCAAAAAATGGTTGGGACTGATTTTGGGGGTTATGGACCAAACCATTTAGTAATTAGTGGCCAAAAAACCTCTAGGATTTTCATGTTTCCGGACAATAACTTGAATATAAGTCGATAAATCTCTATGAAATTGTACCACAAGGTTCCACACAAAAAAGGAAGGTTGGGAATAGGTTATGGGTCTAACTGTTTAGGAAAAGGGGCCAAAACAATTCTATTTTAATACTTCGTATAAATTGCTCATTTCTTGACCAATTTCAATAGGGTTTAACTCAAAGTCTGTAATTCTTGTGGTTCTTTAATATGCTGAATCTAACCGTGTATTTAGATTTTGGATTTTGGAACCCGTTTTTAAATTGATCTACATTGAGGTCCAAAAGGGTCCAAAATTAAACTTTGTTTGATTTCAACAAAAATTGAATTCTTGGGGTTCTTTGATATGCTGAATCTAATCGTGTATTTAGAGTTTTGATTTTGGGCCTGGTTTTTAAATTGGTCCACGTTAAGGTCCAAAGTGTCCAAAATTAAACTTTAGTTTGATTTTTACAAAAAATGGATTCTTGTGGTTCTTTGATATGCTGAATCTAAATATTTGTATAGATTTTTGATTTTTGGCCCGGTTTTCAAGTTGGTCCACATTTAGGTCCAAAATTAAACTTTGTTTGGTTTCATCAAAAATTGAAATCTTGGGGTACTTTGATATATGCTGAATCTAACCATGTATTTCGATTTTGAATATTGGACCATAAACGGTATATGTCCAATTTCAAATTTTTATGTTCTTAGACTACATTCATTCCGTGTCAGAAACCTATGCTATGTCATATATTAAATCACAATCCAAATTCAGAGCTGTATTACACAATGAATAGAAATTGAAAGTAGAATCATAGTTTAAAAGTAGATATAGCATCATATTCTAATTTGAAAATTAGATATAAATATAATTCGGAATTAACTGTTCATAATTAGATATTTTGAAAAATGAAAGTTTATAGATTTTTTGAAGACATTGTATTAATGATGAATGACATTTTTGGAAATTGTTTTTCATTTTTTTGGTTAATTTTTTGAAGAACTTCGTGGTAGGTTGGTTTGTTATTTGTATAAATTAATTTGCAGAATGCTATATATAATGGGAAAAAAATTATGAAGCAAACCCCTTTAAACCCCTATTTCAGTACATTTGTATTTTTATTCAAAAAGGAACCAAAGGGTGCTTGGAATATGATATGTTGTCTTTCTACAAATGTATAGGAACTCAGTATGTATTTTTAGACCAGGAATAAAGTGAATTAACTATGGCCTGAGTCCTATTAAAGTAAGATCTTCAAAATGAAATATGGTATTTTACATATTAAGAAATGAATAAAGTACTACTCTGTAGATAAGGTACCTCTGGATCCCACACTTAAGTTGTCAAGGAAACGCACAGTTTTACTCTCTAGTGGTACAGTTGTTCCACCACTCTGAAATAAAAATAATCATTAGTAATAAATTGAGTAAATGTTATTTAAATATAGAACTGACCCTAGCTGTATATTTAAATTTTTGGATATTGGACCATAATAAGTAAAAGTCCAATTTCAAAATTTTCAGTTCATTGACCACAATCATTCTGTTTCAGAAACCTATGATGTGTAAAATATTTAATCACAATCCAAATTCAGAGCTGTATCAAGCTTCAATGTAGTGTCCATACTTGGCCCAAATGTTCACGGTTCGACCTCTGCGGTTGTATCAAGCTGCGTCCAGCGGAGCATTTTATTTTTTGTTGGAACCACAATATTGAATTGATTATTCCCCCATTTAAAAAAAAAATCTCACTTCTGAAATTAATACTTTTTTTTCAAGAAATGTGGAATAAAAATGTTTTTCTTAAGCTGATTTTTTGTCTTATTTTGGAGATAAATATAATGCTAAAATGGTGCAGGTTTGTGTGGTTAAAGGTCAGCAGACGGTACACAATCACAATTTATTTCACATTTTTGACATTTTTTACGGAAATCATTCATGATAAGTAATAAAAGATTCATTGGAATCACGTTTCGTCAAATGAACAGTTAAACTGTGTATTTTCACTAAGCTCGTACAAGTTCGATTTTTATGATCTGTCTAACTTTTGTGTATAAATCAAGTAGTAATTGTTTTGCTACTTTTCTGTAAAAATCGACCACAAATGCAATACGAAAGAAATTTAATATACTTTGACAAACAGTTGGATTTAAAAAATAATTCCATATGCTTTCGAAAATCGTCAAATTGATTCAATATGTACATTTGTATGATTTTAAGTTCGATGTTGAATATTTTCTGTTAGATAATGGGTGCATTCTATTGCAAATTATTGCTAAAATCATTATGCAGGAATTAATTATATTGCTAATTGTTCCTGTATTAGATCATAAAAAAAGTTTGAAAAGTCACACTTTATCGCGATTAAACAAAAATTTGCAAAATGGGAAAACTCTACGACAGAACTTTGATAACTGTATAATGTATTATCTATCCTTATGTGTATTTTCAACCGTGAGGTAGTCGTTTCATTAAACTCCTAAACTAAGCAACTTTTTTCTGAAGTTGTCACTGTACTATCAAATGTGATCACCCTCAGATCGGTACTTTTTCTTAAGTCGTTTTGTTATAGTAGTTTTTTTCAGTGGACATTTTTATGACAAGCCTATCGTGACATTTTTATGACAAGCCTATCGTAACATTGTTATGATATACCATCGTGTTATCTTTGCATTACGACAAGTACTTTCAACTTTACATCATGTAGTTTTAAATCAACACAATGCAGGATACTTCTTTTTGTTAAATTACATGTTAGCAGATGGACTGAAAATTCTATTTTCCTTCTAAACAAAATTGTTCGTCAACAGGCTCTTGCAAGGTTTGTGGGTACAAAATTAATGATGTCTGACTTGCAAACAAATACTGCATAACTGACATTCAAAAGCCACACCACAGGAACTATTTACAATCTGATCTGCAATGTCAAGAAGACTAAAACCGTCAATCGCCTAAATGTAAACGTGGAAAGCAGTATGCTAGTGGCCACCGTCAATCGCCTAAATGTAAACGTGGAAAGCAGTATGCTAGTGGCCACCGTCAATCGCCTAAATGTAAACGTGGAAAGCAGTATGCTAGTGGCCACCGTCAATCGCCTAAATGTAAACGTGGAAAGCAGTATGCTAGTGGCCACCGTCAATCGTCTAAATGTAAACGTGGAAAGCAGTATGCTAGTGGCCACCGTCAATCGCCTAAATGTAAACGTGGAAAGCAGTGCCTAAATGTAAACGTGGAAAGCAGTATGCTAGTGGCCACCGTCAATCGCCTAAATGTAAACGTGGAAAGCAGTATGCTAGTGGCCACCGTCAATCGCCTAAATGTAAACGTGGAAAGCAGTATGCTAGTGGCCACCGTCAATCGCCTAAATGTAAACGTGGAAAGCAGTATGCTAGTGGCCACCGTCAATCGCCTAAATGTAAACGTGGAAAGCAGTATGCTAGTGGCCACCGTCAATCGCCTAAATGTAAACGTGGAAAGCAGTATGCTAGTGGCCACTTCTGACAAGCTAAGTATTGCATAACATATCTCATGTTAGTCACTAGTACTGTAAGCCAGAACTTCCTCTCTCAGTAGACAATGAGACCTCTTAATTACAAATGCAGATCTTAAGGGATGGGAGAATATCTCGAGATATGTTATCGAGCAAAGGGATGAAGATCATAATGGGGATTACGTCTATATCACGGCTTAGATAAATGACCAAATTAATATAGATCTGTTGGAAGGGTTGAATAATGTTCATAAGAATATATATAGATGCTTGGAAAATGTCAAGCAGTCGTAATAACCTTTTCAGTTCAATGATTTAGAGGTTCGATTTAGCCATAAAAAATTTTAAAACGTCAGAAATCAGCGAATAGTCAAGAGTTTTTTTTTTGTGGTAATAAAAATAATTTGAATCAAACGTATACAGAAAGGTATTATTAGGCCACTTTGTGTCCCCTTGAATTGAAAAGTCAAACAGCATTAAGTCTAACAATTAACATTCTTTAGATGTTCATAAGACATTAATTAGTCTGTCGGATATCAGTATTTATGGATATTTTTTTTTGTCAGACATATTGACATTAGGGGTTCAAACTACTTACATTTTGTTCAAAAGTGCCAAAAAAAGAGCCTCACTTTTGAGATCGTTGCAAGACTTTACACAAAAATGTATTTTGCTACAAGATGTATTTTACAAATATGTTCATCTGTGTATAAATTTTGTTGGGTAAGTACTTGGGTCACATCCATTTTGTCCAAAACGTATGCTTAAATTGACCATTCTATGGTGAAAATATAAATTTCGTAATGTTTATGACGTCATAGTGACATAACATGTAAGTTTCTTACTCTGGAGTATACAGATTGTATCAATAGGTTAAGTTTACTATTGTTGCAATTTCTGAGGCCAAATAATAGCTCTTCTTGGAACTCATCCTGTCGCTGTTACTAAGATTAGATATTTTAACAACTGACGTATCACAAAATAAAAACTACTGTTTTGCTAATTAAGTTGAGAAAAGTTTACAATTAGGTCGGTGCTTAAAATCGGGACCATGTCGGGTATTATAAAGTTAGAACAAGATATTATTGATAAACATTGCTTTGTTATGAGATAGGTTTGATTGAATGCAAAAAGGTCACTGAACATGACCCCTTATGTCAAACGAACAACAGATCTGATTTTAATCAGATGGTGATTTTTTAAAACTATTCATTTTATTAACCAACAGCTAAACAGAGGATAAGAAGCAAAGGGAAATGATGGACACAAACTTTTCACGTATAGATAACTTGCTACGTAATGTTGCACAACCTGCTGTAAAAGTAACATTTGACACAGAGTTTAGCCCCGTAATACTACAACAAACACTTGATCGACAAAGAGCAAAAGTATTGGAGCCACTGAGGAAAAAGAAGGTTATATCTAGAGAGCAATGGAGTTTACTATTTCCGTACCCGAACAAAGGTCAGTTTGTATGAATTATTTACTGCAAAATAAATGACGTGACTATGAAATCAATTTGTATGCTGTCGAATAATATCATCGAGTAATGAAAAAAAAGTTATATTTCTGTAATAGATGATTTGTAAGAAATCAAATACAAGTATTTCTTTGGTGGTTTTGACCTGTAATTTATTTCCCGCACGAAGAGACATTTATCTTATCACACTGTACGGAGTGCAATATGTATAAATTTCTTGTGAATATCTTTAAAATGTTTGTGTCTTCCCTGATATGATACACAGAACAATTTAAAGTAGGAGGGATTTATAGATGGTTGAACATCTAGTCGCAAATATTACATTCACATTCACACTGACTAAACTATCATTAATTCACTCGAATAACATATTGCTTAAGGTTTTTACTTTGTTAGCTCACAATTTAACAGTATTCAGAAATACTTCCCACCTTACTCAGACCACTCTATATGGACAACTAGCCGAATAGTCTTTTCTCTGATTATTATAATGATGTGTACTAGGCAGAGAGGCAAATACCAATTGTAATATCTTTGGTTTGACTTAATCAGGTATCAAGTATCATTTAACAAAGTTAACCCTAACCCTAACCCTAACCCTAACCCAACAAAAATGGCAAAATAGTATTATTTTAAGTTTGTCCCTTAAAAATGGAACAGTTTGTAGAATAAAGTTGTAATAAGTGTTTTGGGATATATTTGAGTTTTATTTTAGCTTTCATTGTTCCGACCTTATTACAACTTATGTAATAAGTGGGAATATATATGCCACAATGAATTTCATTGTAGTGTTGCAATATAATGTCAATATTTGCAAATCAGTGTATTGGTCCGAGCTATACGACATGGTATGTTAAAAAAGCAACATACAAGTTAAATCAACGACATTATACGTCCTCATATAGTTTACAACAATATGGAACATATCCGTGGTCGTCTGTGAATTAGATTTTCCATAACGGTCAACCAACGCGTGATGGTGTCCGTGAAGCTTTCCAAGGATGACTTCACCTTGATCACTTGAAACCATTAAATCAAAAGATTTTCTGTAAGCAGTAACCTCGATCAAGGGAATCATGATGAAAGGAAACGCAAGCTCTGGAATATCGTATCAGGTTGAGATATACATACTACATATGCAGGCGCAGAAGACTGTTCCGATGTCTCAAGTTTTAAGATCGCGAAACATGAACCCTGTAAATTGTCACAAAGGCACAACGTTTCGGCAATAATTCTTGATGGTGATTGTACTGATAAGTCGTTGAGAGATCAACAGTTTATTGGTATACAGACTCCCGGAGAGGGTGAAAAACTGAAAGTACAAAATAACAATCATAAGCATACTATAAAGGCAACACCTATACAATAAATGTCAAATAGTAGTACATTCACAAAGAAAATGGTTATACAGTTCAATACAAGTAACTCTTGTACACTACACTTCGAAATACAACATAAATATATCAGAAAAATATGCAAGAAAATTGAAAGGTTGCATTTGTCATTGACTGTATTCTTCATACCACGCACGATATAAATTTTACACACGTTGAGACTGTGCGGGACTGTATTTCTAGAAAATTCGAGCGTGACCCTTGTCTACATCAATAAAACACAAAAATAAATCCTAACATGTGGGATTGACAAATAATGAATGGAATTTAAGGGGGAAATGCATACATAAAAAATACAAACAGTACTGTATATTCACAGCGGCAATATTTACTCATGCCGTGTGTAAATGATCACCAATAATCAAATATGAACTTGCATAAAATGTATAATTAAACAATATGCACAACGATATAAAAAATGAGCACAAATATAAAAGGTTAACTTACTCTAGTGGTGGATAAAACTTCCAAGTAGAAAAACAACGTGTTTCAGTTTTGACAATAATCGTGGGATTGATGAGACTGGGGAATGAAATGATAAGAAAGGGACGACATGGTCAATTCGGCACTTAATCAAAACAGTACAGTGATCATAAACATATTTCTCTATTTCTAAAATTCTTAACCGATTTATCCTTTTCCTGACCTGTTGATTAAGTTTATTTGATCTCATTTCTTCATTTTTATCAAAATTCGATTATGACGTCATATTTTCTTGCTTTCCTCTAAATTTCCTATTGTAACGTCACGAAAAAAGGCGACCATGCTTGATGACGTTACATAAAAAGAACACATCTCTTTGTCGATCATTGGAAAAGAAGGATTAGGCTTGTCTGAATATCATCTAAATATCATTAGAGAGACAGGTTCTACCACCAAATCTCGTGCAATACGAAGTTTCTCTACTCTCGACAATTAAAATTTTTAATATTTAACTGTCTCGAGTGGAGAAATATCGTATCACACTCGATGCAGTGGTAAAATTTATATGTATATTTGATTCAGTCTTTCTCTAAAGAGCACAATCCTGTTAATTAAATCCGTTTTTGGTTGGCATAGCACTGAATCTTAGTATTTAAAGACAATGAAAAACCTTTATATCAGTGTCTCAGTGTATTCTTTCAGATAGTTAATTTGGTATTACTGGTATTTGGTTTATTACCCAAAGCTTTAGTTAATAGCGCTCTCTGTTGTGTTAATCTATTACTATTTGTCAATCTACCTATCGTGTTGATTTGATTTGTCTCGGTCGATTATATTTGTTTGGAATTCGATTCAAATCATATGTCGCCTATCTGCTAGTTTAATATTTATAAACTTTTATAATTGTTTGAAGGTAAGGCCTGTTCAACTACATTTGATTTGAATTTGATGACTTGTCTCTTACGAAACCTTACACAGATACCAGTCGGGGATGAATTACCCTGTCATGCAGATAAAAGTGAAGGCGCAGATTTGTCGAGATTGAAATACTACAGGAATATGATTGCTCACTGCGCTAGCAAAGATGCTAAACTAACAAACGAGAAATTCGAGATATATTGGAATGATATAAGTCAGGTAAGAAAATTCTGCATTTATCAATCTGGATAGGTTAAACCTTTATGAACCCTTTTAGAAGCCTTTACAAGGAAAAATGCTACAAATCAAATTAACTTTGAAGCATCTTATTTGTGTATAAATCAATTGTTTTTTAAATAGCACTTTATAAAATTAGTGCATCCGAAACGCCTTTTTGTATTTACTTTCATCAGGGACGCTCAAATTATTTTTTTTTCAAAGCAAAGGATGTATAAATAGCCGAATACATGAGGAACCATATGACAAAAAAAGTCCCAAAAGAATAGTCAAATTCATAGTACATTTTTGTGACGAAGTTTGACCCCTGAGCAGTTATTAGCATCTGATGTGTATATTTTGTATCTATGTATATATTGAGGTATCAATTTCAGATTATTTTTGGAAGTTCGTTGGTGCAGGCTGGACTAAATCCTAGTTTAGTCTTCTGAAGGGGGACGTATGTGACGAACTTCATTATGTGATTTTTATTTTTTATTTATTATTTGCTTATTATTCATAAATTGTAATTCATGAAATGGAGCTCACTATTTTATATTCATGGCTTATAAAGGTATGTATAAATTGCACCCTGATTGACACCCCACTCATTCATTTACGCGCCAGGTAAATCATGTGACAGGTAGCACATGGTTTTTTATACTGGTAAAGTGGTGAGGCAGAGCACACCTAGATTTTGATGTGAACAGACGTTTAGTCTGCTGCAGTTCAGTAATATATTTGGTGATACCTCAGAATTGTCAGTTCAGGACATGGAGTTTCACAGGACATATAATGAATTTGCTCAGGTAAGAACATTTATTTATATTTTTGACGGTGTTATCATTTACTTGTCATACTGGCATATCAAACAGACTCAGAGACTATTCATCACGTGGCGATCGATTTATGGTGTGATATCTTGTTTTCACTTGATTATAAATTTTATTTGGGGTTCAATTATTTGTTTCAGGGGTTTGTCCATACAGTTTTATGCTCAGTTTTGAAGCGGCAGTATTTAAATGGTCAGACAACGTACGTCCCATTTATCGACACAGATCTTCCCAAATACCAGTTACGAGGTTTAGCTTAACGTATCATACAACGGCCAGTAATTTTGTTATGTGGCAGAAATTATGTATTTTGCGTATACAGAAGTGGGTCTTAGCTTACCGGAAGTTGGTGTAGATTGTTTGGTAGTTCCGTTTAATTTGAGAAACCGGAAGATATAGGTGAAATATAAATTGCCAGATTTATTATAGCGTAAATGCTATTTATATTCATGTTTCGAAATATGTTTAAAGCTTGGTCATTGAAATGTGATGATGATATCAACCAGTAGTGTCATATCAATAGAAAGCTATGAAATTAGTGCAATATTAATTGAAGTAAATATATAGTGAGCCATACATCTTATTGATGTTACAAGTGTTATACAAGTCAATATTAAATCAGTGAAAAGTGAATAAAGTTACAGTTTAGATTAATTCAATCTAAAAGTATTTGATGTTCCAAGTAATGTCCTAGATCTTGACCGCAAACAGAGTATGGTAGTAGCTGTGATGAGACATTTTGCTGATTTGTTTTAATTTTTACAACTAACATTTTAGTTGTGTGTATTATGTTTGAATTGTGACATTTGTTTGTTTGTAATCATACTTTCATTTGCATGTCCATTTGTTTGTGTTCATTTGCATGTTGTAATTTAGTTTAGTTTTGTTTGATTTTGTTCAGTTTAGTTTTAGTAAAATATTATTTTTACTTTTGTTTCTATGAATGTTGGCCAACTGACAATCCGATTATCCTACATCTTTACAAATCCTAGAAAGCGCATCTGCTGCTAGATTCTGCTTCCCTGGAATATGTGTAATCGTGTACCTAATCTCCTGTAAAAATAAACTCCAGCGAAGTAAACGCTGGTTGCTGGTTTTCATCCTGTAAAGCCACTGCAAAGGTGCATGGTCACTGTAAATAGTAAATTCACTACCTTCTAAATATACCCTCAATGTCTTTACAGCCCACACAATAGCATAACATTCCTTTTCGATGACTGCATAGTTACATTCTGCACCACTCAGCTTCTTACTGATAAACATAACTGGATGCCTACCATCTTCAAATTCCTGCTCCAAAACTGTGAAGCATCTGTCTGTAAAATAAATTTTCTATTTAAGTCAGGGCTTCTCAAAACTGAATCTTTACAAATTTCATGCTTCAATGCATCAAAAGACCTCTGGTGTATATCTAACCATTTGACCTTGTTAGGTACATTTTTTCTTAGTAAGATCTGTCAATGGTAACGATATCTCAGCAAATTTAGGAATAAATTTCCTGTAGAATCCTATTAAATATAGGAACGATCTGACATTTTTCTTTGTTGTAGGCACCGGAAAATCTCTGATAGCCGAAACCTTGTCCTGTTCCGGTTTCATAGTTCCATTTCCCGCAATATGGCCCAAGAACTCAAGTTCAGAAAAACCGAATGAGCACTTGCTTGGTCTTGCAGTCAACTTTGCTTCTCTGAGTAACTGAAACACAATTCGTAAGTGTTCAAGGTGAAATGACCAACTGTCACTAAAAATGCCTACGTCATCAATAAATGAATCTGCATAGTCCTCATGACCACACAAATCCTTCTGCATAAGACGGACAAAAGTAGCTCCTGCGTTAACCATTCCAAATGGCATAACGGTAAACTGAAAATAACCGAATGGCGTGACAAATGCACACTTCCGCCTGGCGTCGACGTCAAGCGGGACCTTCCAATAACCCTTGGTCAAATCAAGTTTACTTATATAACGTGACCTACTTACCTTGTTCAAGATCTCGTCCATACGTGGCATCATTCTAGGATCGAAAAAAGTCACCTGATTTAAAGAACAATAATCCACGCAAAATCGAATACTGGAATCCTTCTTCTTTACTAGAACCACTGGTGCTGCGTATGGACTATTGGATGGTTCAATAATACCAGACTTTAACATCTTTTCAACTTCTACCTTGACTTGGTTTCTAAGTGCATATGGCAAAGGGTAGGGTTTCTTGTAAACTAGCTCATCTGTCTTGGTCTTGACTGTATGCTGAATTACATCAGTTACCTGTGGAACATCACTGAAAATATCAGAATATTCAAACAATAATTGACCAAGTTGTTGTTTTTGTTCAACAGACAACTCTTCAGAAATTGTGGCGTCATCAATAGTTTCTTTAGCCTCAATGACGGGTACAACCTTGGCATGAAAGTCAATATCTACTTCATCATCAGTACTACTTAGACTTGAAATGATATCTAAACAAGCAAGTACTTCAGTTTTGCTACTTTCAAGATCATCAGACCTGTCATACCAAAGTTTCAACATATTAATATGAAAAATCTTTTCTGTAGTACCTTTCATTTTAATCTTGTAGTCTATCGGACTGATCTTGTCTGTGATGACGTACGGACCTTTCCAACTAGCGAGCAACTTAGATGTATGTGTTGGAAGTAATACCAAAACCTTTTGTCCTACTTCTAGATTCCTTGTTCTTGACTTCTTGTCGTAATATGTTTTCTGTTTTCGTTTAGCTTCTTTCTCGTTCTGTCTAGTTAACTTGGTCATTTGTTGAAGATTTTCTCTAGTTTCAAGTACGTAGCTCAGTACAGAATTATCACTATCTGTTGGTTCTTCCCACTCTTCTTTTAAGATAGCAAGAGGTCCACGTACATGTCGACCGTAGAGCAACTCAAATGGCGAGAAACCAGTAGTTTCATTCGGAACTTCTCTATAGGCAAACAAGAGATACGGTATGTATTTGTCCCATGTGTTTGGATACTTTCGAGCGTAGCTTTTGAGCATCGTTTTTAGTGTTCCATTGAAATTTTCTACAAGGCCGTTTGCAGCAGGATGATACGGTGTTGTGCACATTTCATGAACTGACAATAATTTACATACCTGAACCATAAGGTCTGACATGAAATTCGAACCTTGATCTGTCAACAATTCTTTTGCAACACCAACTCTTGAAAATAACTGGATTAAGGTATCAGCAACTGTTTCTGCTTCCTGGTTAGTCAAAGGGAATGCTTTTGGATACCTGGTTGCATAGTCAATACAAACTAAAACATATCTATTTTTATTTTCAGTTAAAGGAAGTGGACCTCCAAAATCTATCGCTATACGCTGAAATGGTTCGTCCATAGGAGGTATACTGATAAGTAAAGCTATAGAAACTCTACCTTTCTGAACCCCTCTCTGACACTCTGGACATGATCTACAATACTGAGCAATATCACCAAATATTCTAGACCAATAGAAATGCTGCATAATCCTATACCTGGTTTTAGTGATACCCAAATGACCTGCTAAAGGAATATCATGACCTAAACTTCTGAGGGACAACAATTTGACTAATTGCCTCCCTTGACTGTGTCCTAAATATCCTATAAAGAATATCAGATCTTATTGTAAAATAAGACTGTTCATCCGAATCATCTGTAATATAAGATCTAATAAAGTATGATCAGACTTCTGTGCACCAATCAGTTCCTGTATAGTACAAATCTGAAAATTAGAGTCAGAATTAGTAATTTGAAAAGGTTCTGTTAAAGATAAATCATCACTATACTTCTCTGTATTCTTCTCAATTATAACCGCCACCTCCAACTGTTTAATCTTCTGGGCTCTTGTCTGCACTGCTTGATATGGCTCTGAGGATGGATCTAAAACAGGATCTAAAATTAAAAAATCAACAAAACCATCACTGTTACTAACTACAGCCGTGTCATTAACACTAGTAGGTATATAAGTGTTTACATAGTTCCCTATGATGAGCTCTGCGAAAGGAGTATCCAAAACTAGAGCTAAAACAGTACCTGAAACAGAAGGAGTATTAATATCAATCCAAACTTCCTTGCATTCACGTGTCGAACCATCTGCAAGACAAATATGTCTTCACTTACCTGTAAACTTATCTGAGTTAACAAATTTTTGGTTAACAAAACCAGTTGAACATCCTGTGTCCCTTAACACTGAAACTGGTTGACTGTTTACCTTACCTTCAACAATATCTAATCCTGGTACTTTGTTTGTCTTCACCTCGTCACAATACACCCCTGGTAACCGAATTGTCATGCCACTTGCGTATTCGTCAACTGTACTACATGGTTCTGTCTGTCCTCGCTTATCTAAACATAATCCTATTTTACCTTGTTTAAACTGTGGTTTATTCCTTAAAGTACAATCTGGAGCAATATGTCCTTTGCGGTAACACACAAAACAAGTCCTGGTTTTACGCTTGTACTGACCTTGATTGTTTCCATTTGATTTACTCTGTTGTTTCTTTTGAAAATCACTGCTACCTTTACCTACATCCTTGTGTGCTGTTTGATAAGCTTCTGCTAGTTCTACTAAAGACCTAAGATCCGGGGGTTTATGCTCCTGAATCCACAATCTTAAATCCTTATCACTACTTACTGTCAACTGACCCCTGACCATCAGATCATAAAGCTTCTCAAAACTACCATCAATCTCTTCTCTGGCACACCAATGCCTTACAAAACCCTCTATCCGAACAGAAAATTCCTTGAAAGACTCCCCTCCAAACTGAGCAGAATTCCTGATCTTACCCCGATATGCCTCAGAAGTTAACTCATACCTGACCAAAATGGCTGTCTCAATTTTGTCATATAACCTTCATTCCTCATCACTCAACCTGGAATATGCCTCAAGAGCTTTACCACAAAGAAGGGGAATAAGTCTGAGTGGCCATTCACTCTTTTGAATTTTATGAAGTGTAACAAGTTTTTCAAAAGATTTCAAAAATACATCCGGATCTTGACCTTCAGAAAATTTAGGTAACTTAGTTTTGATAGCTTCTGACGTTTTAAAACTACTTTTACCTCCCTGTGCTAACTCTTTCTCTCTCAATTCCAACTCTCTCAGTCTATAACTATTGTCCATCTCTGCTTTTCTCATATCTCGTTCAGCTGCTCTCTCCGCTCTTTCTGCAACTTGTATCTCTTTATACAAATCTAAACAAGTAGATGCTGGTTCACCTTTATCAATCAAGTCTGTCATCCACCCTGGCAACTTTTCTGACGTCATTTTGTTCAACTTAATCTGATAATGATACTAAAAAAATACAAATATCTCAGAGTTAGGATACCAGAAATAAAGTCTCACAAATAAATAAACAATTTCTGGTTATACCTTCATATCAAATAAACTCTATTAATGTTGGACCTGTGGCAATCCCACCGCTGCCACCATTGTAAAGACGTAGGATATTCGGATCGTCAGTTGGCCAACATTCATAGAAACAAAAGTATAAATAATATTTTACTAAAACTAAACTGAACAAAATCAAACAAAACTAAACACAATTACAACATGCAAATGAACACAAATAAATGGACATGCAAATGAAAGTATGATTACAAACAAACAAAAGTCACAATTCAAACATAATACACACAACTAAAATGTTAGTTGTAAAAATTAAAACAAATCAGCAAAATGTCTCATCACAGCTACTACCATACTCTGTTTGCGGTCAAGATCTAGGACGTTGCTTGGAACATCAAATACTTTTAGATTGAATTAATCTAAACTGTAACTTTATTAACTTTTCACTGATTTAATATTGACTTGTATAACACTTGTAACATCAATAAGATGTATGGCTCACTATATATTTACTTCAATTAATAGAGCACTAATTTCATAGCTTTCTATTGATATGACACTACTGGTTGATATCATCATCACATTTCAATGACCAAGCTTTAAACATATTTCGAAACATGAATATAAATAGCATTTACGCTATAATAAATCTGGCAATTTATATTTCACCTATATCTTCTGGTTTCTCAAATTAAACGGAACTACCAAATAATCTACACCAACTTCCGGTAAATCAAACACCAACTTCCGGTAAGCTAAGACCCACTTCTGTATACGCAAAATACATAATTTCTGCCACATAACAAACATACTGGCCGTTGTATGATACGTTAAGCTAAACCTCGTAACTGGTATTTGGGAAGATCTGTGTCGATAAATGGGACGTACGTTGTCTGACCATTTAAATACTGCCGCTTCAAAACTGAGAATAAAACTGCATGGACAAACCCCTGAAACAAATAATTGAAACCCAAATAAAATTTATAATCAAGTGAAAACAAGATATCACACCATAAATCGACCGCCACGTGATGAATAGTCTCTGAGTCTGTTTGATATGCCAGTATGACAAGTAAATGATAACACCGTCAAAAATATAAATAAATGTTCTTACCTGAGCAAATTCATTATATTGTCCTGTGAAACTCTATGTCCTGAACTGACAATTCTGAGGTATCACCAAATATATTACTGAACTGCAGCAGACTAAACGTCTGTTCACATCAAAATCTAGGTGTGCTCTGCCTCACCACTTTACCTGTATAAAAATCATGTGCTACCTGTCACATGATTTACCTGGCGCGTAAATGAATGAGTGGGGTGTCAATCAGGGTGCAATTTATACATACCTTTATAAGCCATGAATATAAAATAGTGAGCTCCATTTCATGAATTACAATTTATGAATAATAAGCAAATAATAAATAAAAAATAAAAATCACATAATGAAGTTCGTCACAATTGTCGTAGGACAACTTTTGCCTGGGGGATTGGGAACCCTACTTCTTTATAAGTTCATAATTTTTCAACGGAGAATTTAAATGTATGTTAAAATCATGTCTGTAATTAAAGCATTAATCCTGCATATATAACTTATAATAGATATTCTCTTCTTTTAAAGTTCCGATAAATGTGGAGTAAAATATGCTTGTCTAGGATTACCGATAGAAGTAGATGTCCTTTATTAGTCTCCTACCGACGAAGTCGAAGGGAACTTTAGGTTTGCATTCCGTCCCTCTGTCTGTCTGTCTGTCTGTCTGTCTGTCTGTCTGTCTGTCTGTCTGTCTGTCCATCCGTCAGTCCGGCAAATCAGTTTTCCACACTTTTTTCTTTATGCTTAGAGATATTGATTTGATATTTGGTGTATTGTTTTATCATGACAAGTTACAGATCAAGTTCGAATTTTGTTCCGGTTTGATTATTTTGTGCAGAGTCATGGTCCTTGGACTTAGAAAATTCACTCAAATAATCAAGTTTTCTGCATTTTTTTTCGTCATGCTTGAAGATATTGATTTGATAATTAGTATATGGTTTTATCATGACAAATTACAGATCAAGTTGGAATATTGTTTCGGTCTGATGATTTTGTGCAGAGTTATGGTCCTTGGACTTAGAAAATTCACTCAATTAATCAAGTTTTCTGCTTTTTTTTTCGTCATGCTTGAAGATATTGATTTGATAATTGGTATATGGTTTTATCATGACAAGTTCCAGATCAAGTTCGAATTTTGTTTCGGTCTGATGATTTTGTGCAGAGTTATGGTCCTTGGACTGAACAAAATCACTTAAATAATCAGTTTTCAACACTTTTTTCGTCATGCTTGAAGATATTGACTTGATATTTGTTATATAGTTTACACCATGACAAGTTTAAGTTCAAGTTAACATTTTGTTCCAATGCAATGAATTTTTAAGCGGTATGGGACTATGTCTTGCCATGCAATACTCTCAGAATGTTTGTTAACCTTCTTTGAGTGCAAAATTTGAGATTTGTGTATCTGATAATGTATACCAAACTTTTTTTTCTGTAATTGTAGGGTTTAAAAAACTAATCAAAGATACTTTAACCGGACTTAGTTTTTGTGTAAACATAAACCTTCATCAACGTTTTAAAAGCCTTTAAAGCATTAGATAATTTCAAGACAATGTGCATATGTTTTTTTTAATCCATAGAAAAAACAAATAGTGAAACAAGTATAAAAGGTAAACATATTTCCTAATCGAAGTATTTTGCTGGAAGTGTGCACACTAACAGAATTCATTTTATGATTTGTTGTGTTTTAAAAGTCTTTTCATCTTCATTTTTCTTTAAAATATAAATTCTAATACTTATCATGGGAATATTACCATTTCTAATATTTCAACAATATTAGTTATTAATATTATGTATACAAAGTTAATGTTAACAATAATCAACCAATAGTAGTGCGAATGAGGTACTGTACTACTCAAAAAAAGTTTAATAACATAATTTCTGACTAAAAATAAAATGAAACAAAATCTCGATTTATCTTACGAGTTTTTGTTTTATTAATCTTCTATCATTTCTGTCTTCAAAAGAACTACATTAATGATAATCAAATCTCATACAGCTGCACTGTTTGCAACTTTGAAGGAAGATGTAAAAACTGAAAGTCATTTTTACCTCCAAATTTTTATCATATTGTGTATGCCCCCGCGACAAAATGTCGAGGGGCATATTAAATTTACCCATGTCCGTCCGTCCTGATATAGATACAAGATATGTCCGGCTATCTCATCCTACAGTTTTTTAATATTCTGAATCTAACATGTATTTAGATTTTTGATTTTTGGCCCCTATTTAAATTGGTAGATATTGAGGTCCAAAGGGTTTAAAATTAAACTTTGCTTACATTATCAAAAAATTGAATTATTGGGGTGCATTGATATGCCAAATCTAACCGTGTATTTAGATTTTTAATTTTGGGCCCGGTTTTCAAATTGATCAACATTAAGGTCCAAAGGTCCAAAATTAAAAATTGTTTGATTTCAACAAAAAATGAATTCTTGGGATTCTTTGCTATGCTGAATCTAATTGTGAATTTAGATTTTTGATTTTGGGCCCGGTTTTCAAATTGATCAACATTAAGGTCCAAAGTGTCCAAAATTAAACTTAAGATTGATTTTAACAAAAATTGAATTATTGGGGTTCTATGATATGCTGAATCTAAACATGTATTTAGATTTTTGGTTTTGGACCAGTTTTAAAGTTGGTCCAAATCGGGGTCCAAAATTAAACTTTGTTTGATTTCAACAAAAATTGAACATATGTAGTTCTTTGATAATCTGAATCTAACCATATATTCAGATTTTGGATTTTGGGCCCCATTTTCAAATTGGTCCACATTGAGGTCCAAAATTAGACTTTGTTTGATTTCATCAAAAATTGAATTCTTGGGGTTTTTTGATATATTCTGAATCTAGCCATGTATTTACGTTTTAAATATTGGACCATAAAAGGTATATGTCCAATTTCAATTTTTTATGTTCTTAAACCTCATTTATTATGTGTCAGAAACCTATGCTATGTCAAACATTTAATCACAATCCAAATTCAGAGCTGTATTGCACAATTAATAGAAATTGAAAGTAGATTCATAGTTAAAAAAAGATACAGCATCATATGAATGAATATAGTTTGAACTCAACTGTTCAATATTAGATATTTTGGAAAATAATCACAAAGGTAAGTTGTATAGATTTTTAAAGACAATGTATTAATGATGAATGATATTTGGAAATTGTTTTTTTTTTTTTCCATTTTTTTGTAAATTGTTTTGAAGAAATTCATGGTAGGTTTGTTTGTTATTGTATAGAACCACTTATTCGGCCCGGTCAGAAAGACCAATCAAGAAAGTAGTACAAATTTTAAACAAAATAGTTCCTACGCATAGCTGTAACTTTGTCAATAAGTAAAACATTTTGGTAATGTTGGTATCAAATGAAAGCTTAAGGACTTGGAATCACTGCAGAACCCTTGTTAAAATTTTCTTTTGAATAATAAAAAAAATATGAAATTAAGATAGGTGATAGTTGCCCTTTTGCTCAGATCAGAAGTAGATATAATTCGACGAAAACATTTCATATCACGTTTGGTTTGGCCATTTAGTATGCATATAGATAAGACTTAACATGAATTTCCAATGTTTGCATTTTTTTTAGACTGAAATCAATGAAAGATATGTATTATGACAAGTTTATAGTAAAAAGAAACCTTTTGATCAAATCATATTGTGAAATTTCATGTTTTATTGGGTTTCTTGTTGTATTATGTTATGACTTAGAAAATTGGTATATACTCGTATAAGAATTCTAAAATCTCACTTGAAATGCAATTGTAAACCAGTTTAGTAAGTTGTCTAGCTGGGACATACATTAATTGTTCTTGTTAATCCATGTTATTACCTGTACCTATGTTTTTTTAATAAAACACCCCTTTTCCAACTTGCAGAAAAAAGGAGGGATAAAATTCTCAATAATATTTTATGTTTAGACTACTATATTTGAATCCAATGAACAATCTCTGACAAAAATAAGACATGTAGGTAAGAACATTGTTATTTGAGTAGATATTAACTAATTAGAATTGGTAATAATGGTAAAAAAAAGTCTCATTTTGGTCACTGTTATTTTTCATATGTAGTTTTTATTGTATAACGCATATGTTACTACAAGTCCAGTTTGAGCTCAATTTCAGTGAAATAGTGTTTTGACAAAATCTTTATGTGTTTTTCTTTGCTAGGAATAGATCATAGAATAAAATTAAGTAAAGTAGAAGTCTGTAAAGCAAGTTTGGTGCTGTTTTAGGTAAAGCACCACTAATTTAGAAAGAACAATCAAGAAAGTAGTACATATTCTAAACAAAATAGTTCCATAACTGTAACTTTGTCAATAAGTAAAACATTTGGATAATGTTGGTATCAAATGAAAGCTAAAGAATTTGGGGTCGCTGTAGAAACCTTGTTTCTTTTTTGTATATTAAAAAAAAAATATGAAATTAAGATAGGATAAGAGGGGTGAAATCAAGTTCTGAAAATATATGCTTATTAACATTTACGAATGTACCATCCATTAATTGAATCCAAGCTTCATTCGTAAAAGGTTAATGAGCATATATTTTCAGAACTTGTTTTAAACTGCTCACATATTTCTCCAAATTTTAGGCAATTGTAAGACTTGGCGGTGCACATTTTCAGCCGAAGTGTCTTAGTTTGAAAGTCGGTGGAGCAAATGATTGTGTTCCTATAGGTTTAAAACGTAAGTGTACTACTTTATATTTATATAGTAAAATATTCGATAAAACAAGACGATGTTGATACACGGAAAATAACAATGTTTCTACTTTATTTCCATAAAATGTCAATGTAATAACAGAATAAATAATGAAAGAGCTCAAACATTGACAAATATTCAACTCGCAACCGAACATCAGTGATTCCTGTTACCCTTTTTTCTACTATATGTGATAATACAGGACAAAATATATAAACATTAAATCAAAAACATAAAAGTTAAATAACAAAAATACCGAACTCCAAGGAAAATTCAAGACGGAAAGTTCTTTATCAAATGGCCAAAATCGAAAGCTCAAATACATCAAACGAATGGAAAACAACTGTCATATTCTTGACTTGGTACAGACATTTCCTCATGTTGAAAATGGAATTATTAAAAAATAAATGAAACAATTAAGAAATAAGAATTACTTAAAAGATACTTCACGATGAATTTGGGAAGCAATGCTTGTGTTATTGGTTACAACTAAGAGTTTTTACATTGCCGTAATTTTATACATATCATGAAATATTCATTAAATACACTACATAAAGACAAGTTCTCATTACTTTATAAACATATCAAATCGTTTTCGTTTTTATCGATTTAAAGCATCAAACTATGTTCCTCAAGAAATTATTCAAGGCATTATGATATTTTTTATACGACCGCAAAATGTTTGCGTTCGTATAATGTTATCGCGTTGTCAGCATCGTCGTCGTCGTCGTCGGAAGGCATTTTGGTTTCCGGACAATAACTTGAGCATAAGTGTATGGATATCTATGAAATTGTACCACAAGGTTTCATAACACAAAAGGAAGGTTGGGATTGATTTTGAGGGTTATTGTTCTAACTGTTTATGAATTGGGGCCACAAACAAGCATTTTTCTTGTTTCAGGACAATAACTTGTGTTTAAGTGTATGGACTCTATGAAATTGTGCCACAATGTTCCAAACCTTTACAAGAAGGTTGGGATTGATTTGAAGGGTTAAGGGTCAAACCGTTTAGGAATTAGAGGCCAAAATGGGGCAAAAAAAAAAAATGATTTTCATGTTTCCGGACAATAACTTAAGTATAAGTCTACGGATCTCTATGAAATTGTACCATAAGGTTCCATACCAAAACAAAGGAAAGTTTGGATTGATTTTTGGGGTTATGGTCCTAACCGTTTGGGAAAAAGGGGCCAAAATCAATATTTTTTTAATACTTTGTATAAATTGCTAATTTTGTGAGTAATTTCAATGGGGTTTTGAATTCTTGGGATTCTTTAATATGCTTAATTTAACCGTGTATTTAGATTTTGGATTTTGGACCCCGTTTTTAAGTTGGTCTACATAGAGGTCCAAAGGGTCCAAAATGTTTTTTTTATTTCAACAAAAATTAAATTTTGGAATTCTTTGATATGCTGAATCCAACCGTGTATATACATTTTGGATATTGGACCATAAAGGTAAAAGTTCAATTTCAAATTTTTGAGTTCTTAGACAACATTAATTCTGTGTCAGAAACCTATTTTATGTCATATATTTAATCACAATCCAAATTCAGAGCTGTATTGCACAATTTATAGAAATTGTTAATAGATTCATAGATAAAAATAGATATAGCATCATATTCTAATTTTAGAAATTATGTATAAATATAGATTGAAATTTATTGTTCATTATTAGATTTTTTGAAAAATAATTAGAGGTAAGTTTTATAGTTTTTTAAAGACATAGTATTAATTATGAATGAAACTTTGGAAATTCAGAGCTGTATCAAGCTTGATCGTGGTGTCCATCCTTGTCCCAACTGTTCAGGGATCGACTTCTGCGGTAGTATCTAGCTGCGCCCTGTTTATTTGATTTGGGTATATAAATGTCTTCCTTTCAACTAATTTGGCATTTTGCAATAACATTTTGTTTTAGTGAAATCAATTATCGAAAAGTACATTTTACACTCAAAGATTGTAAGTTTTCTGCAGGTTCTTTAATCACCGTGAGACTATAACTGAAATTTTTTATTTACCTTATATTTTTTCTCGAAAGAGTCACACATTTTTAATTAAGATGTAAAGAAAAATAGAAAAATGAATAGGTCTGTTTTTGTACCCGATGGGTTTAAAAAGATAATAAGGCATTTGAGTGAAATATAAAAACAATTGATCCTACAATGCTCGTCCAGATGAAACATAGATAGTTTCCTTCAATTTTTGTTAGCAAAACAGGGTAAAACATTTTGCTACGCAATCTTATCCAGTACTTTATCTTGTTCCTAAAACATATAAAATATATATTTAAGGGTTTGATGAGAGGCAATGTAGTCAATTTGAATAGAGAAAAGACAATTTTCTTGTTGTCTTCTATCACACAGTCTTTTCAAACAGAAATTGGCCTTGGGGTCTAATAAGTATTACTTTGAAGTCCAAAAGAAGGATGAGGTTTACCATAGAAACCTGTTGGAAAAGCTTTATTGTCAAGTTTAAATGGTTATAACTTGAAAACTGTTGGTGATATAGACACGATATCTTCAGTAAAGATCATATTACATTATGACTTACTAAAGTGACAAAAGGTCAACGGTCAGTGTCCTTGTACCTAAACTTAAACTCATTTTCGAAATCTTAATTTCTATAGAATTGTACTTGCTTATGTTTTCATTAGAAATCATAAATTTTATGTAATTTGTAGGACTACACAAAGAGTTGATAGAAGAATGGAAAAAAGAAAAAAATTATGTAATAGAAACAATAGCTATAAAACGCTTATTAGATTTGATTGAAAACAATACCAGCGTAATGGCTGTTGGATCTTCCGGTTGCGGAAAGTCTACTTCTATTCATTATGTGGCACTTTCGTTATATCAAAAGCAGGGATATGAAGTCATCCATGTCTACAGCCCAGAAGAAATAAGACAGTACTATAATCCTGAATGTAAACAAGTAATAGTTTTTGATGATTTATGTGGGAAATCTACCATTGATTTTAACTTAGTTAATAATTGGTCGAGGTTGTTAAATGATATTATAAGAATATTAGAGGATACAAATATTAAAATGCTTTCATCGTGTAGAACACATATTTATCAAGATCGTACATTTAAAGGCCTGGATTTCTCATCAACAATTGTATGTGATCTTCTATCTGAAGAATACCGTCTCACACGGTTGGAAAGACAGCTTATAGGCCAGAGGTACTTATCTAGAGGTGAAATGAAGAAAATAGAAAATACTATTGAAAAGTTTGAATTCTTCCCTCTGCTATGTCGCCTTTATTCTAAACATAAAGTTAACGAAATAGAGGCTTTTTTTTCTAATCCGGACACTATTTTACGAAATGATTTGAAATCGTTCATGCAAGCACAAGATCAAAAAACAATTGCAATACTGACTCTTTTCATCGCTTATAACAATAACTTACACAATGATGTGCTATCACCAGCCTCTGGAATAAAACAAAAAATAGAAGTGATATCTGATAACTTTCATTTGCAAACGCATTTGTCAATCCAAGTTGTAAGGTCAGAATTGAATAATTTAAGGTGTTCTTATGTCAAATGTAGTAAAGAAAAATATAGTTTTCTCCACGACAAACTTTTTGACATATTGGTATCATTCCTCGGAGATCATAAATTTGACCTGATTTTAAATATTGCACATACAAATATCATACGTGATAGTTTTCTGCTCGAATCATTGTTAAAACCGTGTACAGTATTAAAGAAAAACGAAAACATTATTATAGTTCAAAAAGATAAAGAAAAGGATTTTATTTTTCGTTTAGTAAAAGATTTCGAGGATGGATATATCAAAAATGTAATTTTAAATGAACATTTACGTGATAAAAGTTTTAGGAAGAAACTAGTTCAATTGATTAGCCAGTCTGTCGATATGGAAAAAATGATATGCACTATGTCAAGAAATACATTAACTACATTGTTAGTATTTATGGTTGATCAAAATTATTGTGATTTACTTTCAATATTTTTGATAGAAAGCTATAATCTAAATGAATGTGATTGGGAGGAATCGCCGCTGTGTATAGCTATAAAGAAAGAATATACTGATATTGTCAAATTATTGTTAGATCGTAAATGTGACATTAACTTCTTCAAAACGGGCAGTCAAACACCTTTATATGTTGCTGCAAGGAAATCAAGGAATGGTTATTCTTTTGTAAAACTACTGCTAGAGCACTCAGCCAAGACTGATATCCGAGGTCTTTTTGGTAGTACTCCTCTCTATACAGCTACCAAGAAAAATAATGTTGAAGTTGTGAAGCTACTATTAGATCGCTCAGCTAACCCGAATATAAGTAACGATTACAATAATACACCACTTCATGTGGCAATTGCAAAAGGTTATTATGAAATTGCCATGCTGTTGCTAGAGCATAAAGCTGATTTTAATTTTCAAGATGTAGACAACAAAACGCCTTTGTTTCTGTCAGCAGAGAATAAAAATGGTGTTATTAAAGATTTCATATCAAAGATGAGTAACAGTGTAAATGTAAGACGGCAGTATAATTCAGCACTTTTATACATAGCTTGTAACAGTGGTGATTTCAACGAAGTGAAAAACATATTATTGCAAGGTAACATTAACGTCAATAATAACGAAAACGAATTTTTGCAAACAGCTCTGTATATAGCATCAGAGAAGGGTCACAGTGACATCGTTTCTCTGTTGTTCGATCATCAATGTGATGCCAATATCAGCAACAAAAACAAAGACCTACCTTTACACGCAGCCGCGCAAAAAGGTCATACAAAAGTTGTTGAATTTTTAGTAACATACAACGCTAATGATCTTAATAATAACGATAATAAGTGTAAAAAGTCGCCTCTATATTTAGCATCAGAACAAGGTCACACCAAAATTGTTAAATTGCTCATACATTATGAATGTGATACTAATTTAACTAATGAATGCAATCAGAGCGCTCTTTTCGTATCATCATGCAACAACCATGCAGAAATTATAAAATTATTATTAGAAAACAAAAGTGATCCATACATCTGTAATTCACATGCACAAACACCTCTTCATGCAGCATTATCCAACGATCATACGCATATTTTAAATCTGCTATTGGAGTATGGAGTTGATCCTAACTACGCACCTTTTTGCACTACTACTCCTTTGTGTCTTGCTGTAGCTGAAGGGAAGACAAATACTGCAAAATTATTATTGAATTACAGAGCTGATCCTAATATTGTCAACAAAAACAATGAAACATCTTTACACGTAGCAGCAACGAGAGGGTATATAGATATTGTGAAACTTTTGCTCACTAACTCAGCTAACCCTGATATAAGAGATAATCATGGTAAAACTGCTCTGCATATAGCTACTGAGAAGGGGTATTCTAAAATTATAACTTTGTTGCTTTTGTTTCAAGCTAATCCTTATTTACATGACATGTACAATAAAACACCTTTCTTTATTTCTGTAGAAAAGGACATTGATGTTATTTTGAACATTATATTAAAGACACTTCCTAAGGTAAATGTTAGACAGACATATGTTTCAATGTGCTTGTACAAAGCGTCAAAATGTGGTGATTTACAAAAGGTTAAATTATTGTTCAAACAGAATACTGATATAGACTTCGATTATTCGGATAATGAATGCAAGCAAACAGCTCTGTATATAGCATCAAAGAGAGGTCATAGTGATATTGTATCATTTTTGTTAGATTTAAAATGTGATCCTAATATTGCCAATATGTACAATGAGACTCCTTTGTATATCGCGCATTGCAACGGTTATACAGCTATTGTGAAAGCACTGCTCAAAATGAACAGTTTTTTCTTTGAAAAAAGTAATCGAACATCCCTATATATGGCTTCATCTGAGGGTCATACAGACATCGTTAAATCATTGTTGAAATATAATATTGATGTTAATTCGACTGATAATGAATACAAACAATCAGCATTGTATGTAGCGTCAAAAAATGGTTATATTGACATTGTTGCCTTGTTAATACATAATGGGGGTGATATCAATTTGACTAATAAATATTGTCAAACACCCCTTTACATAGCATCAAGTATGGGTCATACTGGTGTTGTAAAACTTTTGTTAGTAAACAATTGTGATCCTAATATATGTAGTGTATACGACCAAACTAGTCTCCATGTAGCAGCATATCGTGGTCATATTGACATTGTTAAACTTTTGTTACAATATAACTGTGATCCTAATATTTGTGATATGTATAATCAAAATCCTATTCATGGAGCATCATATGAGGGTCATACAGAAATCATAAAACTATTGATAGAACACAATTGTAGTCCAAACATATTGAACAAATATGAACAGACACCTCTAGATGTAGCTATAAACAATCGTCATGAAACTGTTGTTGAAATATTGTTGGAAAACATTTGATTTTATGTAGAAAGGTCTTATATATATCTAATTAATTAGAGATATTGAAAATTATTGATATGATCTTACTGCATTTTCTTTCTATGTCAAGACTGATTGTGATCAACAACACTGTCTGTATGAAAGAAAAAAAATATTTACTTCTTACATGCTCTTGATATGTATGTATTATCTGTGTCATTTATGTGCATTTAATAAAGATAACTTAAATGAAACATATTTTGATCTTCAGGTCTCGACAAAGACTTTACAATTGAATTTTTAACATGTTAATTTGATAGTTTAGAACACCACTTTAAATTTGACTGATGTATACCTAAACAAGAGGCTCTCAAGAGCCTGAATCGCTCACCTGTTATTTTTTTGCTTAAATCTTTCATCAATGATTATTTTTGCTTTTTACCCATATGTTCCATTTTAGCCATAGTGTCTATGTTTCTTGACGTACAAGGAAATGAAGTACAAAATTTATACTAGATTCATTTGAGAAGATTTTTAAAGTTGAAAAACATAAAACAACTTGTGTAAAATTGTCCTTAAAGGGCAACAACTCCTAAAGGGGTCAATTAACCATTTTGGTCATATTAAACTTTTTTGTAGATCTTACTTTGCTGAACATTTTTGCTGTTTACAGTTTATCTTTATCTTCAATAATATTCAAGATAATAACCAAAAACTGCAAAATTTCCTTAAAACAACCAATTTAGTGGCAGCAACCCAACAATGGGTTGTTCGGTGTGTCTGAAAATTTCAGGGCTGATAGATCTTGACCTTTGGAACATTTTTACCCCATGTCAGATTTGCTCTAAATGCTTGTGTTTCTGAGATATAAGCCAAAAACTGCATTTCACCCCTATGTTCTATTTTTAGCCATGGCGGCCATGTTTGTTGATGGATCAAAATTTCGGATACAATTCATAAACTAGATTCCTAAAGGAACATTCATTCAAAGTTAAGAAGTATTAGGCACAATAGTTTCAGAAGAGAAGATTTTTAAATATATTTCTTTATCAACTACTACAATCTGATTAAAATTCAATTCATGTGCCTAAGCTTTGCTTACATGAATCTGAAAACACTCCGTTTTGCTTTCTGTTCTGGTAACATTTACATTGGCGAATGAAATTTCAGCCTTCAAATTTTGACGGTGTGCAGTATTCTAACAAAGGCAGAGGATCCCGAAAGGTCTTTTAAACAGAAAGTAAAATAGAGCGTTTTAGAAAACAACGTATGCACTGGGTTAAGAGAAAGAAGTTTTTAAAGATAGTTTTTAAAAAAATATTTGCTAGGCTATATGTATGTTCTATACAAATTTTTATTTGCTTAAAGGATTTTCAATCAATAACATTTTGGACAGTAAACATAGTTTAATGAATTGGTTGTTAATGGTGTGTTAGGTCAACATGTAAAAGTTGTTTGCAAAATTTTAACAAAATCTGTGACAAAGCCTTTTACTTTCCTTGACCTTACGACCCATGTCCAATGAAGATGCTCATTCGACATATGTTTGTTTCGAACTTTGATTGCTTTCCAAATTTTATTTTGCCAGGCAAGGCTGGCCTCAAATAGTGCGACCCTGATAACCGACTAGTATTTAAATAATATATGCTCCATGTCTATGACAGTACTACTTTTAGTTTACATTGTATGGCAAACTTGATAAACTTCCAATGGTGATTACAGAAAGATGCCCTCACTCGCAGTTCACTAGATTCCAATTTGTTTTATTCCAATGATTTTATCTTGATTACGCCTTAACCTTTGATATATAAAATGAACTTATATATTATACTCATTCATATATATGATTGTTCTTTGCAGTCATTTAGGTTTTGAGGATCTTAGTCGTTAAAACGTTTGACTAGTTAGGCTGCCTATTTCCCAATTGCTACCTACGGGTATCTAAGCCATCTGTGTGGCACAACCAAACAAATGAAAAGATATTAAACCAGTCTAAAGGCCACCCATTATTTAAGTCTCCCAAACAAAGTTTATTGGTTTTGCTCCGTTATCATTATTATCATTATCATTATTCCCTCTTCTTCTTCTTCTTCTTCTTCTTCTTCCGCCGCTTTGAAATTTGAACTTATCCGCACTAGTTCCCCAAAACCGTTAGTCAGATTAACTCAGGGTTCACAATATGTTAGACTAACATATCTAGTGGTTCAATCAGAATTTTGTTTGTGTAATCGGGTTTATAAAGGGATACTTTGACGGGCAAAAAGGAAGGAAGGGTTTACTATAGAATCCTATGGGATTTTATTTTTATTTTATTTTCGAATGATTATAACTTGAAAACAGTAAGTGATAAACACAATCTTTAAAATTGAAAATTTTCTACATGATAAATCACATCAAATGGAATATAGGGTAAATTCCCATGGGTCATCCCACCCCCTGCCATTTGAGAAAGTTCTAATATCTTGTAAGTAGTCAAGATCCCCACCCCTAAACCATATATATTCTGGTTTGTCATGATAAAGCACATCAAATGAAATAAAGGGTTAGTCCCCAGGGGTCACCCCCACCCCCTGCCATTTGAGAAAGTTCTAATATCTTGTAAGTGGTCAAGATCCCCATCCCTAGACCATATATATTCTGGTTTGTCATGCCAAGATGATTTGAATGATATACAGGATAAGACCCAAGGGGTCATCCCCACCCCCTGTCATTTGAATATGTTCAAATATCTTGTAAATGGTCAAGATCCCCACCCTAAACCATATATATATTCCTGTTCGTCATGTCTATCTATCTATCTTCATATTTCCGCACTCAGTCACAACTTTGACTATTACGTGCCGTTGCATGCGTGGCTTATTTACAATTTAAAAGAAATAAATTTTCAGTAATTTTACGTTACATTGCATTGGTGCATAGAAAATGAAGTAAAAATATAACAGTGATTTAATAATTTTTTTTGTGGATTGTTATCCTATGTATATTTCATGGTAAAACTATGTACATGTTATGCAGTTTTTAGAATATTTGTGAAAGAGCAGATATAGAAATCTGCTCTTTGAAGCCTTCGACTGTTGTACAAAGGATTGCTGGTGTAGGAAGTAGGTTCCATTGTACTATTGTATGTGGATAAAATGAGAACTTGTAAGAATCTTTATTTGTTTGAATTTGTTTAAAGTGGTTGGTATGTTTATATCTTGTTCTACTGTCTGATTTAACGAGAAGATCTTTAGGGTAGATTGCTATGTGTTGATGTATGATCTTATAGAATACCACTAGTCTTGTTTGTATACGTCTCAATTCTAATGTAGGCCACTGTAAGTGATCAAGCATATTTGAGACTGAGCTGGTATTGTGATATCTATTACATGTATAGCGAGCAGCTCTTCGTTGGACCATCTCAATTTGATTGATTTTGGTTTTTGTTGTGAGGGTCCCAGACGCAAGAGCTGTACTCAAGCTTAGGTCTAACTAATGACATGTATGCCCTTTCTTTAATTTGTTTGGATGAAACTTTAAGGTTACGTTTTAGGAAATTAAGTTGTCGATTTGCATTAGCTGTTATATTATTTATGTGTTTATTCCATTTGAGATCAGATTGGATGGTTATGCCTAAATATTTTGTAGCTGTTTCAGTTTGGAGAATGTGATCATGAAGGATGTAGTCATGGTTGACTGGTTTCTTTTTTTGTGTAATTTTAAGTATGGAGCATTTGTCTGAGTGAAATGACATTAACCAGTCTTTTTCCCATTGTGCCGCTGAATTTAAATCCTGTTGTAGTTTGGATGCATCATCTATGTTTTTGATGTTTCTATAGATGATGCTGTCATCGGCAAATAACCTTAAGGTGCTGTGTTGTAAATATTCTGGGAAATCATTTATGTAAATGAGGAATAAGATTGGGCCAAGGACAGTGCCCTGTGGCACTCCAGATGTTACCCCAATTTTTTCTGATTGTTCTCCATCTAGCATGACTGTCTGTGTACGATGGTGTAAAAAATCACCAATCCATTCCAAGGTATTATTGTCTATGCCGTAGTATTTTAATTTGTAAAGTAACCTTTTGTGAGGGACTTTGTCAAAAGCTTTGGCAAAGTCCATCACAACGACATCAGTTTGTATGTTGTTATTGTTGTCTCTTGCAAGGTCCTGTATGAAAGATAGTAATTGTGTCTCACAAGAGCGTTTTGATCGGAAACCATGTTGTAAATCATATAAAATATTGTTTTTTTCGAGATGTTCCATTATTTGACTAGCTATGATATGCTCCATAATTTTGCAAAGTATACATGTTAGTGAAATTGGCCTGTAATTTATGGCATTGTTTTTGTCGCCTTTTTTGAATGCAGGACAGACATTTGCATGTTTCCAGTCTGTAGGTATTTTATGAGTGTTAATTGACTTTTGGAAGATGAGTGTGATGATAGGACTGAGATGATCTTTCATTTCCTTTAATACCTTTCCACATAGTTCATCAGGGCCTGTGGCTTTATTTGGATTGATGTTATGAAGTAGTTTGTTGACGCCCTTTTCTGATATTTTAATTTCATTCATTTGTGGATGGAAGTTTTTTACTGGTATTGGATCTGCAGATGATTCAGTAGTGAATGCTTTTTGAAATTGCTCGTTGAGGATGTTCGCCTTATCTTGGGTGTTTGTTATGAGCAATCCATCCTTTTTTAGGGCAGCTACACCTGAATTATCATTTCTCATGCTCTTGATATATGAGAACAGGTTTTTAGGTGTGTGCTTTTTGTTGGTGCTTCCAGGTTCTTCAATTGGAAGGTCTAGGATCATGTTTTCAATATAATGCCAATAAGCTGAGCGCATGTCTGCCTGTAATGTTTTTTTCATATGTTTGTATTTAATTTGCAGATGATGATTTTTCTTAGATTTTTTATGCAGACGTTTTGTTTTGTTAATCTTAATTCTTAGTTGGTCTGTGATCCAAGGCAATTTCATTTTGTGTGTTATTTGTTTTTGTGGTATGTTAGTACTGATGGTCTTTATAAGATCTTCTTTGAATGTTAGCCAAAGTTCATTTGTGTTACTTTTATTATATATAGTTTTTATCTTTTCTTCTAGTACTTGTATGTCTGATTTAATGTTTTCCCAGTTTGCTTTTTTGAATTGACAAATTTGTCTTGCTGGTTTTTTGTTCCTTTTCAGTGATATTTTACATTCAGTGAATACGATGTCATGATCTGCATTCCCAATAGGTGGCATTAATTCCAGTTTATTTTTTATGTTTGGTGCATTTGTTAAGATTAGATCGAGTATTCTTTCACCTCTTGTTGGTTTGTCTACCATTTGCTCAAGAGAGTGGTCATTTATTATGTCAATAAAAGTTTGATGTTGTTTGTTATCTGGCTTTCCAGGAATTACTGATGGTATTTGCCAGTCTATATGACCAAGGTTGAAATCCCCCCCTAAGATTATAGTAGCTTTTGAGTTCCCATTTGTACGGCTTAGAGATGTATTAAGTTCTTCAAGTGAAGAACCTGTGTCTGAATGTGGTCTGTAGTAGCAACCAAGAATTAATTTTCTGGAGTTAGCTATATTCACTTCAGCCCATACATTCTCACAGTTTGTTTGTAGTTCTGAGATTTCATCAGATATGATGTCTTTTGATATGGCAATTAGGACACCACCATGACTTTGATTTTTTTCATTTGGTGGACGATCTTTCCTGTATACATTGTAGTCTGATATTGGAAAGTAATCATAGAAGGATGTTTCTTTATCTAGCCAAGTTTCAGTTCCAAATATTATATTTGGCTTAACAGAGTCTAAGATCTCTTCTAGTTCAGGTTTTTTGTTTTTTATTGATTGAAAATTTATGTTAAGTACTCTAAGTGGTGTATGTTTGGGTGTTTTTCTACCTGGTTTATAACTTTGCTTTTTTGGAGATGAATTTGCTTTTGGTTCTCCAGGGCTCATACATGAATGTTCACTTAGGCTTGAGAATCGATTACTTGTTTCTATCGATGACATATTAAATAGAGATGATGAGAAATTTGGCATTCCACATTGGATGCAATCCCAAGAAATGTTTGATGAGTCCATACAAGAGTACATGCCAGAATTAATTCCTTGACAATCTATATGATACCATACCTGACATGTATCACAACAAAGTGCTTTGTGTTTCCACGTGACAGCTTTGTTACATGACCCACAGGGCCATCTTGGTGAACGTGGACCTGGATTTAGCTCGGTGTCTCCTGATATTGTTATAAGAAGAATAAGTAGGTATGTATTTGTATGTTTGATATCTTTGTATTTAAGTTTCTCCAGTACAAGTCTCATGTTGATGGAGTATGTTGATGTAATCTGTGTATGATGAATACTACAGTTTTCATTTGTATACTTGTTTGTGTTTGGTGTAATATAAATATTTATGGTAACCATCATTGAAATTAACATATAGATTGTGATATGCAAATTCATGGTTGTTTACTTAGTTATTATATTTATTTAAATTATAACCTTTTGATTTTGGTGCATATATAGATAGAGTGCACGAGTTTGGAAGTGTGCAACTTAATCTTAATCTTAATGTCACAAAGATTTGAATGATATATAGGTTCAGTCCCTAGGGGTCACTAATGTATAATACTTTACTAGACCAAACCAGTTTTTACTGGGCTTTGCCAAATGTCCGGCGACCCTGAGTTTGTTTGAGAGACTTTGTAACAGCATCCAGCTACAATCATTTCTTGTTTGTCTTGTTCCTACATGATAAGCATGATAATGTTTAGTTGCTTATCGCGAACTAACATCGGTATCATTTGTTTATATTTTTACTAAATTTACTTGTTTTGCTATGAATACTTAGAGATAAAGTATTTATTTATTCAAGTTATATTCCATGTATCACCTACAATTATTGGTGGGGTTCTTGTTGCTCAGTCTTTGGTTTTCTATGTTGTGTGTTTATGTACTGTTGTTTGTCTTTTGTCGTGTTTCTTTTGGTCGTTTTTCGTTTTTTTGCAATGGCGTTGTCAGTTTGTTTTGGACTTATGAGTTTGAGTGTCCATTTGGTATCTTTCGCCTCTCTTTTGTAACTCACAGACACAATAGCAACCTTCATAGAAATGGGATTTATGTATGGTATATCACAGATAACTCTAACGTACATGTGAGAGATAGAGGACTTACTTATAAGTTAAACCCAAATTTATTAATAAAAAACATGTTTTAGCAGAGAAGGAAAATTGTTTCTTTTTCATCATATTAACTTTTTTTATATTCTATTTTCATTTCTGTTTGGACTTTATCTGGAGCCCCATTTTTTTTCGTTTTATTTTTTTACGATTTAATTTGTATTGTTGGCATATATATATATAGAGAGAGATAGAAAGAGAGAGAAGTCTGTAAAAAGGACCAACCAGCAAATTTAATATGTACCGGATCGACTAGAATAGACGAAGCTGCGCAGATGAGGAAAACAATATATAAGTCTATAAAGATTTGCATAATCTTCGTATATTACCTTCTTATATTAGTACCGTTGTGCAAATCTTTAGACTTATATATATACCCAATTGATTGAATATCTGAAGTTGTGCATCTAAAATTCTGAAAGTTATTATTGGGAATAACTGAAAAATCAACATAAAAACTAGATTCATTTCATTGTAGGGGAATTAGTTTCTGATAAAGATACAAATCTATCCCTAATTTTTTATATATTGTGCTATCAAAATATGACTTTCTAAATGAAGCCTGTATATCTAATTCGTGGGAAACGCAATTTTTTTATGAATGGCAGATGGTTATAGTTTCATTTATCACGCGCAGACTTAAAGATCAGTTTGTACAAGTCTTGTACTTTTTTAATTGAAAAATCAATAGAACTATAAACTTTTGGATGATTTTTGAAAGGAGATTACTATAGAATTCTTTGGAACAAACTTTCTGTTGATTTTTAAATTTAGAACCACAAAAACAGGCTTCCCCTTGAACAGGGAAGATAGAATAATAGATTTTGTATTATATGAAACAAAACAAATATTGCCCATGAATACCATCGTACATTAGAATGTAAATACTTCGATGAAAGTAGAAAACTTTGTGTGTCAAATTTTTATTTCGACATGCAAATATTATTAAACACAGAAAGATTATGACACCAAAAACCAAATCAATATTACATTAATCAACTATTCATAAAGAATGTCAAGAAAGATGTATGTGATCCTGGATAAAATTGTATTTCATACATATATATGGCATTTTTTTATTGTAAATTTTGTACATAAATATCTTTTCTGAACCTATGAATAATTATGTTTTATCTAAAATAAAGATGAATATATTTAAAGTTGACAGTTTTGCCGAATTTGTTAATATCTGGTAGTAGAAACGTAAGTTATACAGAAACTTTTTTCTCAGCAAAGTTTGATCAATATTTTGTTCTGCTTCTTCTTGGCTACATCAGCTAAAATAAAAAGGAAAGTATACTTAGCATTTTTTATGAGTACTTACTTCTTATATAAAAAATATGGAGATCTGGTATGATTGCAAATGAGACAACTATCCATGAAGGTCAAAGGACAAGGATGTGATAAAATATAACTTATTTACATTCTTCATTCTTTTTATCAGCCTTTGGAAGTTAATGTGCATGTTGATATATCGGAAATTGGTCCCTTGATACAGTAACATTTGGATATTGTTTTTTAAAAAAAATCTTAAGTGAGCCGGTTCAAAACACTGAATACCATATATATCAAGCGAAATCATTTATCGGGTGCAAGTCCAATGCCTTAAAGACATTTAAATTTTATTTCAGCATAGTTTTCTACAAAATGAAATGGTAAATGTATTCTACAATGACATGTTTGTCATTTCGAAGTTGTGAAAACTGTCTAGTTATAAGTTCAATTGGTTAAAGCAACAGATTGATAGTGCCCTTCAAGTTACAATATATGTACATTATTACCAAGACATCAATAATGAAAAAATTTCATGGTATGTTACTTCTCAAAAAATTATTTTTTACGGATCAATTCCCGTTGTAGCACTCTTTGAATGAGGTCACTTAGTAGTACATTCATCGAATATAAAAGTGTGCTTTGGAAATCACATTGATATACACTTCTTTTGTTCTGAAACAAAATCAGCTAAACAATTGAAAGGGCAATTGTCAATGGTAATACTAATAAAAAATACTAAGAAGTAGTGTGCCTATAGATACAAGTGGTACCTCAGGCTGATTGGTTTGAAAAAAAAGAGGCAGAGGAGACCAAACGGACAATCAAAATTCATAAGTCGCAGAGAAACCGACAACACCATAGCAAAAATAGAAAAACCAAAGCACGATAAGCACTACTAAACTAAATCTAGTTTATGATTATTAATTTTTATTATTGAAATTCCAAACATAGTCTTTTAACAGTAAGTTATGCTAGCTTACCATGATTTAGTTCCACAAGGTTTACACACATCGTACACATGTTGACAACTCTGCAATTTGTACTCAAACACTGTGCCGACAGGACAGTTGTATCTAAATTGTCTCCCATAATAACACCAGATATAACTCCTGCACCATTGAGTAGGGTAGTACTTATGTATCTTCCGGTTACATTCAACGACCTGACATGTCTTTTTGTTGAAACCATATCTAGCGTTTGGACAGATTCCGTCCTTTATAAATCTTTCGCCCTTGCAAAGCATGTACCAAGGAGAGCCTGCTCCAGTTTTCTCTGTGTGAGGATTGGCACCATCTGGATATCCTTCACAATTTGGATGATGCAACTCACAAGGTGGGCCAAAATTTCCAGCGCCAGGATGAGAATGATATTGACCTAATATAATCAAATAATAAAAAAAATAGTTAAAAGTGATTTTTAGGCAAATCTCACAATAAAAATATATATATATATTATATATAGATTCAAATAAAATGTCATTCAAGATATTTTCTGATGGGTGTGGCATGCTCAGTGGGATCTGTTTACCCTTCCTAAGTACCTGGGTTCACCTCAGACTTTTGGTAAAGTTCCTGTTGCTCAGTCTATAGTTATCTATGTAATGTTTTGATCTTTCAATTTTTGCTATGGTGTTGTCGGTTTCTCTTCGAATTATGAATTTTGATTGTCCCTTTGGTCTCCTCTGCCTCTTTTTTTCAAATCAATCAGCCTGAGGTACCACTTGTAGGTCCGGTGGGAGGAGTTTCTGTGGGTCGAATTCACTTTCCGTCGGTTTTTAATTAAATAAGCGTAATCGTCGACAAAAATAAGACTAGAACGTCTTCTTTTCTGGACCCGAGCCTGTGTATATTTTCTATCTCACTTAGTAACTATGACAGCCTATATATAATGGAGACAAGCAACGAATTGAATCAAATTGACCAAAATGAATCATTATACATTGATTGCAATGAAATACCGTTTTTTGTTTCCCAGTCGAATTAAAACCGATATATATGTGAAATAAAATTCTGTAAACAACCTGTTTGGTCAAGATGATACCAACGAAATATATATCATCAACACAAATGGAAAATTTGTAGAAAAAGAGTTGGTTGTTTGCATTTTTACTGTAGTGACAATAAATTTCAATATAATAAGAATGGCTAATCCAATAATTCAAATATTGCAGAGAATTCAACTTATGCCCAAACAATACTAATTAATAACTCTTAAACTACACGCATTTTTGAGTTAATGTGTTGTTCTAACGCTGTTGAATAGTTTCTTGGATGGATAAGTTATTCTAAAGATATCCTGCATATATATATATATAACACTAGGCCACCGAAAGCTGAATTTTTATTCAGTCTAGGTGGTCGAGTGGTCTAGAGCGCTGGACACAGTGCAGGCGGTATTGTCACGATATCCCAATAGCATGAGTTCGAATCACGGCGAGGGAAGAACAAAAATTTGCAGATTTAACATTGTTGTGCTGATATTTAGAGTAATTATGAATAGATATTCGAATCCCGGCCAGGGAAGAGGGCTGTTATTTAGACGAATTATATATATATATATATATATATAATACCAAAAAAGTGAAAAAGCATATTTAAACAATACGCATTTGACTAGCAGATCACAAGATGTAACAAAATGGATCTAAATTATTAATTTGATACCAAACAGAAAACAATAAACTTGCGGAAAAGATGGTATACCGCAAACAAAAGGTGCAAAATTAGTACACCATATCCGGATTTCGAAAAATAATGTCTCTTTAGTGTTGTTAGGAATCAAAACGGTATTTGGAAGGCTATATAATTTACCTCAATTTAGGATTGACTCTTTCCCGCAAGTTTATTGTTTTCTGTTTGGTATTAAATTAATAATTAAGTTCCATTTTGTTACATCTTGTGATCCGTTTATTTGGCAATCGCCAATGGCAGTCAGCAGGGTTTAAGAACATCCGTTGTTCGACCTGCTAGTCAAATGCGTTTTGTTAAAATATACTTTTTCACTTTTTTGGTCTTTTGGAAAATGTTGTTTGTGCTGTATTTAGACCCCTCCACCAAGAAATTTGTTTTGCGTGCACACGTATAAAAATTGCGGTTTTTATCCAACGCAATCATAGGTTTGAACGTTGTTCCTATTTCGACTCTTCCAAATTCAAGAGTCTATCCTAAATTGAGGTAAATTATATGGCCTTCCAAATACCGTTTCGACTCCTAACATCTCTGAAGAGACATTAATTGTCGAAATCCGGATATGGTGTACTAATTTTGCACCTTTTGTTTGCGGTATACCATCTTTTCCGCAAGTTTATTGTTTTCTGTATGGTATTAAATTAATAAATAAGATCCATTTTGTTACATCTTGTGATCCGTTTATTTTGCAATCGCAATGGCAGTCAGCAGGGTTTAAGAACATCCGTTGTTCGCGCCTGCTACTCAAATGCGTTTTGTTAAAATATACTTTTTCACTTTTTTGGTCTTTTGGAAAATGTTGTTTGTGCTGTATTTAGACCCCTCTACCAAGAAATTCGTTTTGCATGCACACGTATGAAAATTGCAATCATAGGTTTGAACGTTGTTTTCAATTAAGACTTGTATATATATACATAATTACTCTAAATATATATATATATATATATATATATATATATATATATGAAAAACCAGGTGGTCAAAGTTTACAATGAGTGTCCGAGTTGTAGTTAGTACCAACTATCAGGTTGTCTGCATATCGATATTGAAAAATATCAGCTACGAGTCACAATATGAAGCTTTTTGTCGAATGAACGCAGCGAACGAGTTCAAAAAGGCTCATATTGTGTCGAGCAGCTGACATTTTCCAAAATAAGTATATGAATACGATTTATCGGATTGTATTTATTGTATTTAGTACGAGAGAAACAATTCTTTGTTTCACCAGCAAAACGGAAGATGACTAGGCAAGTTCGGGTCAAAATTATCACCGTCAGTTCATTCATTATGACGTCGGTAATATGTCTGGGTCAAAGTTATTAAGGCCGGGTTAACGCATTTTACGTCACAAAGCCGTGATAAGCAATTTTAGAAATAGCTGAGCAGAGTGATACAGACAGTGGGAACACCAATAATAAGGCATATTAAGCTAGCATCGTCAAATATTTCTTTCTTAATAATTACTTCAGTATTTTTACTAATTAGTTGAGGTTTATAAAGAAATTCTAACTTTTCGACACACTTGTGAGGATCCAAGCATATTCTGTATTTCTACACACAGCATATGACATTCATAGACTAGTTACAGCTAGTCCTAAAAACAGGCCCGTTAGACGTCAGAGCAATCTTGGACTTTCATAAACGTGCTTCAAAATGTGGCTGTACGAATTTACACACGCCAATAATGATAAACACAACTGGCAAACGAAAGACGCCTCTTGTAGAACCTAGTTTATGGGGGTTTCGGGGTTATGGAATGTTTGAGTTTTTATCATTAGGGAATAGGATTTTGCTATACTTATTTATTTCTGGGATATAGTGCTATACTCAAAAGAGTCGTCTTGAACTTGCAGTGAGGTGTGAGCGGTCGTTCCATGTCGAAGGCCTTGCTGTTAATTAATTAAGAACAGCAATAAAGGCGCTTTTTCACTGCTTTTTTCAAATATGTCTAATAGGATTTTGTGTCATACATTAATACTCTCTATTCTTTTTTTTCCATTGTATCTTATTTTATAGAGAGTTGAGAACCAATATTTATTTCTGAGGATATTGCATATAATAAAATGTGGGTTTTTTTTCTGCCCATCACATCTTGTGTTGTGTCAACATATAATGGTCGGGGTAATGTTTCTACCCAGACAAATGCGTTTTATGCGCAATCAATAGTCATGTTAGAGATTTACATTACACAATAAACTGACATGTTTATGACTAGATTGAAACTATAATGAAATTATATAAAAACAAAGAAAAGTCAGTTAAACATACTTACAGTAAGATTTAAACTCTATCCTGGATCCACACTTGACATTCTTGAAGTCTCGACATGTGTTTGTCTTTGTTGAGAATAGTTTAGGATACTGACAAATCTTCGATTTAGCAGCATCAGAACAATCGTAATACAAATGACAAAATTTAGAATCGGGAAGTATGCCCGATTTCCTCATGGAACATGCCTGTTGTCTTTCTGGAAGTTAAAAAGTATTAGTTTTAAGATCACTTCTATATATTAAAAAAAACCCATCTGCCATGATATTCCAATTCCATTACTGTATTCATTTTAATTATAACTAGTAAATTATAAAAACTATAAAATGCACCACTGTTTGTTACATTATTTGAACTCCTTTTTGTTTTTTTTTAATTTTTATTCTTAGTAATCAACATTTATGACTATTTAATGTACCAGCATAGATAATTCCTTTCTGTTTATAATCTTCATGTGCGATAAAAAAACGTAATATAACTCAGCTGACTGGAAGATTTATTTAAAAATGTATCATTGTTATGCCTGGCTATCCATTCATGTACCTCAATTATCACAGATAAACTAATCAATTTGGATTATATACGTGCTTGTTTATCAATATATGTTATTGAACATATTCTTCATATTATTTACGTTGGTTATTTGATGTATTTCTCTTAGTTCTTAATGCCGAGCGCTGAGCGGAGTAACAGTAAATACCAATTTTCTGTGTCGAATCGAGCACACTTTCACGAGACCATCGAGGCAGTTGAATTCATTATACTTTGTGATATAACAAGGAGAGCTAGTTAAGATAAAAAATATCATAAAAATCTGATGCATTTCAGTTTGATATTAGTGTGGCACATATTCAAGATATCGAGATCTTCCTTTTCTTAAAACTATTTTATATCAATTATGGTTGTAAAATGAGTGGTCATTTTTTTTTTATTTTCGAGTGAGTTAATTGACTGCTGGTATTAAGCAAGGTGTGCATTGTCGTAGGAAAGCAATAGGTGGGAGGAGCGGAGACCAGCGTATTTAATTCTATCTCAGAAGTTGTTATGACATAGTCTAGGACGCCTCCACGAAATAGTAGAAAATAAAATAATAAAACAAAATTAAGGGCGGGTACAGGATTTAAGGTTAGGGGCGTGAACCTCAATATTTCGCCGAGCGCATAGAAATGGAAACGCCCGTTACGCCCCCGTCAGAATCCGCATCTGAGACTTTAACATCAATGACCATGTAATTTTCCTACAAAATAAAACAATGCAGACACAACAAGTTAACCAAATAATTTAAGGGGCGCCAAAGGATTAGATACGAAGAGGCATTACTGTTTTTCAATATCGAATATATATACTTTCATATTTCTAGAAATTGTAATCTAAATACAGATAAAAAAGGTTGCATTTACTTAAGAATATTGTAAAGGGAAGAGTATGTACTTATTTGCCCCTTCACCTTTTCTCCCTGATTAGAGTATTTAAAGGAGAAACTGTTTCTAGCCCAGTTTTTTAGGGGGGAGGGGGGAGGCGGAGACTATTTTATTCACCGTGTACATGACAAACAACTATTCAAGAAATATTTGCCGCTGGATTTTCTGGATGTTTATTCACTAGGACTTTCTCTGTAAACTGGGTATGCTTAAAACATTTGTCAAGGGACATTACGCAATCAACAATTAATTATCAATTACTAGTAATCGATGTTTTCCGTGGTTTATTTTATTTGAAAGAAGAAAATACCTTCAAGATTTTTTTTCTCAATGTTTTTACATTTTACATTTTACATACAATAAACGTCCTATTGGCGTTGAAAAAGGCAATACAATATATATGTCTATCGAAAAAAAAAATGTGCAGCTATCCTTCAACGGAGGCTTGGGCATGGGTCCCCTTATTTCTTTTATCTTTTGTGTTTAATTTTCATTAAATATGTTAATTTTGCAAATGGCGTGCTATGCACTATAACTTGTTTTCCGGTTTACTAGTATTTTAAACTTTAAAACTTACCGTGAAATTTCCGTGAACATTTGAGCTGGCGTTTGTTTCGCACGTTTCAAGTACACTTTAAAACTTACCTTGTAACTTCCTTGTACATTCAGAGCTGGTGGTCATTACACACGATGAACCAGACAGCTGTAAATCATTCCTATGTCGACAGGAAAAAACACGTGCAGTCCCTCTACAATCAATTGATGTTGCACAATCATCGCTGGTAACCACGCCACTATTTGCTATATGTTTACAATATGAAGAATCTAATTTAGCTACACTTGGATTACCCATAAAGTTAAAACGAAAACCCCATAACAAAGACAATGTTTGTAGGAGTAGTACAGCGCAAAGCAACCTCATCATTTAACGATCGAACCTTCTGAAATGTACATTCACCAAAAAATGATACATTACAATGTATGTTACATAACAGCTTGTTTATATAGGACTGACATTGTCACGTCATCCGTAGATTATGGAATGGCAAACTTTCAACTAATTTGACAGCAGAGAAAAATCCATTCAAAACGATATATATGTATACAGAGCCATATCTGAGGGGATTAACAATGGTCCTTCATTCCAACATCTAGCCCCTACTACCAATTACCCCCATTACTTTCAGAAGAAAATCGGACAAAGAAACTTTTCTGTCATATCCCTATTTTTTATTCCATCTTCTCTCGATTTCCTTTCTATCATCCTGCCCATACAATTTGCCTCCCTCCCCCTGAATACCGCTTCCCGATCCATCCTTCTCTAATTTCTTTATCCCAATCCAACCATTCATGTTTATTTTTTACGGAAGATGAACAAAACTCTTTTCAAACAAATCTTTAAAAAAAATGAAAATTTATTTGTATTTAAACGTGCACATCTGGGACTTGACATTTTTACCTTGGAAAGAGGGGGGTGCGAAAATTGAATCTGTTTATTGTTTGTTCGGGTTTATTTTTGTTTTTGTCGAGCCTGCGACTTTCGTCGCAGAAAGCTCGACATAGGGATAGTGATCCGGCGGCGGCGGCGGCGTTAACTAACTTCCTAAAAGCTTAATATTTCAGAAGGTAGAAGACCTGGATGCTTTATACTTTGTATATAGATGCCTTATGATATGAAGTTTCCGTCTGTCATATGTCCATTATCCTTGACCTCATTTTCATGGTTCAGTGACTACTTGAAAAAAAAGTTAAGATTTTTTGTAATGTTAATTTCTATCTTATTATGAGTAATAGGATAACTATATTTGGTATGTGCGTTCCTTGAAAGGTCATCATGCCTGTCAGACAGTTTTCACTTGACCTCTACCTCATTTCATGGATCAGTGAACAAGGTTAAGTTTTCGTGGTCAAGTCCATATCTCAGATACTATAAGCAATAGGTCTACTATATTTGGTGTATGGAATGATTGTAAGGTGTACATGTCCAACTGGCAGGTGTCATCTGACCTTGACCTCATTTTCATGGTTCAGTGGTCATAGTTTAGTTTTTGTGTTTTGGTCTGTTTTTCTAATACTGTATGCAATAGGTCAACTATATTTGGTGTATGGAAATATTTTACGATGTACATGTCCGTCTGGCAGCTTTTCTTTGACCTTGACCTTATTTTCACAGTTCATTGCTCAATGTTAATTTTTTGTGTTTTGGTCTGTTTTTCTAATACTGTATGCAGTAGATCAAATATATTTGGTGTATGGAAATATTTTACGATGAACATGTCAGTCTGGCAGGTTTCATTTGACCTTGACCTCATTTTCACAGTTCATTGCTCAATGTTAAGTTTTTGTGTTTTGGTCTGTTTTTCTAATACTGTATGCAGTAAGTCAACAATATTTGATTTATGGAAATATTTTACGATGGCAGTTTTTATTTGACCGTGACTTCATTTAAATGGTTCATTGCTTATGTTAAGTCTTTGTGTTTTGAACTGTTTTTTCTTAAACTTTAAGCAATAGGTCAACTATATTTGGTGTATGGAATCATGGTAAGGTGTATATGTCTGTCTGGCAGGTATCATCTGACCTTCACCTCATTTTCATGGTTGATTGGTCAATGTTCAGTTTTCCTGGTTAACTTTGTTTCTTAGATACTTTAAGCAATATATCAACTATATTTGATGCATGGAATGATTTTAATGTGTACATGTCTGTCTGGCAGGGTTCATCTGACCTTGACTTCATTTCATGATTCATTGGTCAATATAGAATTTCCAAGGTTTGGTCTGTTTCTTTTATACTATAAGCAATAGGTCGTCTATATTCTGTGTATGGAATGATTGTATTAAAGGTGCACATGTATTTCCAGCTTGGTTTATCTGACCTTGACCTCATTTTCTTGGATCATAAATGTTTATGTGATACTTGTAGTAAAACTTTATATGTAGGACTATCAACATAAAATCAATGGTCAGTATAGTAGGCGAGACATTTCAGCGTGTGCACTCTTGATGTTTTTGTTAATAAAAAAAAATAGATGGAAAAGGATAGAAAGTTGTTTGACAAGTGGAATTATACATGTATAGGAGCTTGTACACATCAACACGTTAGTGGCAATTATCTGTTGGCCCATTCGGTGTTTATTCTCTCAGAAGTTGTACAAGTTAGCTCCACAAACTTTTAGTCACGATAGTACCTGGTGTATGGTGAAAACGAGTTATGTGGACGGATATCCTATTATTTGTCTTTCCATTCTCACCAGGTTAATTTCGTGAAACTTAAAAAAAAACTAAGGACAACTATAGCAGATGACGAATTGTATCGTAACTTTGTCATTGATGTGGTAATTTCTATTTTAAATTATCCTACGTTTGGCTGACATTTGATAATTTTGCGATCAAATCGATACGTTTTGATTTCCATTTCGTAAACTACTAAAATCTAATAATTAATTTTTGTAACTGAGCCATGCTAAACTGGCTATGGAATTGTTCGACTCTAGCTCTGTTGACCGACTTGAGTAGTCAAATATAATCTAATCCACGTGTATGACTTTAACTTCTTTACGTTAATCTTGTATTCCAGAGCTTTTGTTGTTTTACTCGCATTTTTCTTTTAATATCTTAACCTTTGAAATGTTTGGTATATTAAATGAATTTCATTCATTCTTTATGTGCCTGTCTCAAGTCAAAAGCATGTAATTTAGTGGTTTGTGTTGGTTGCTGTCTGTCATATTTTTTAATTGTTTTGGTTTAAACTAGGCCGTTGGTTTTCTCTGATAGATTGTTCCAATTTTCCTCGAAAAATGGCTGAACCAAGTCAGGAATATGGCAGTTGTTTTTCAATTGATCCGTTGTTTGATAGCGTTTAATTTGTCAGTTTTTATGGACTTCCTCTTTTTGAATTTGCTTTGGAGTTCAGGATTTTCGTTATACGTTTTGTCATACCGGGGCCTTTTTAATCTTACTAACGTGAGGGTACTCAAATTGCACCTATTTTGACAGTTTTTTTCACCTTCTTTTTTTTTAACAGACGTTCTCATTCAGTGTCTGTTTTGTTGATGCATCCTTATTTTCTATTTAATATCACAAATTCAATTTTGAGTCCGTACTGAATCATAGAAACATGAGTTTGAACCTATCTCTAATAGAACCAAGATTTTGTAATGAGGAGTACCTAAATTAAACCAATTCTTAACTTCACTCCCGTAAAATTCGAACAACTGATGTTTTGTTTTATTTCTCCACATTTTTAGAACAATTTAACAATACTCCATGCCTACATTGCATATTGTAACAAAATAATGCCCATTCAACATACGGGTATCTAGGGCACCCTAGGTACAGCCAAACAGATAAAAGGACAAGCAAACTAATAAGTGTGTCTCTTACTCAGTGCGCACTTCCACCATTATAATACGTTTATATTTGACTTTTTGTCGATACTTGTAGGCCATTCATATCGATAACAACTTAAGTGAAGATACAGTATGTATTTATTCAAGTTATATTACATTTGTTAGTTACAAATAACAATAACAACATTCTTCGATATATCACATTTCAAACTACAGATAACTATACCAACCATGTGATATAGATCTAGAGGACTTACCTATAAGTTATATATATTAATAAATAATACTAGACTACAAATTGTATTAAAAGAGAAGGAAAATTATTTCTATTTCATCATAGTTTATTTGATTTTTATCATATTTTTATTTCGGATTTGGTCATTATTTAGGGGTATTGTTTCTTTCTTGATTTCATCTATTTTTTTGTTTTTCTTGTAAATATGTTGATGCAATTGATTAAAGATTATCGGATTTTTTGAAAGGGTACATAAAACATTTTGTTTGTTATCATTAATTCTGAAAACATCAACATTTGCGGGGAGCTTGTGAGATATCCTGTCAAATTGGGCAACAAAACTAAATTGGATTTTTTTGTCGGAAATTATATACTCAACATGAAATATTGTATCAAACGTCTATAAAAAAAGAAAACTACACGTTATAAATGTAATGCGTCCGAACCGCTTTTCTGGATTTACCTTCATCAAGAACGCTTAAAGCCGAATATCTAAAAGCCAAGGATTGTAAGAACAGTCTAAGAAAATATATTACTAAAAAGAAACCTAAAAAATAACAAATTCTTATAAACGACGATGTAAATTTGTCTTGGTTATACAGAATAAAGACAATTCTAACGGAATGTGGTACACCTAATGTGTGGGAAAAGGAAGTTTAGTTCTTGAATTGCAGACGGTCAGTTTCACTTATCAAGCTCAGACACTAAGATCAGTTTGAACACGCCTGGTACTATAAAGCTATTTAATCTATAAAAATTTTTAAAAAAATGTAAAAGAAAATTACTTTGAAAAATGGGAACATACTTGCTACTGATTAAATTTAGAACAACAAATCAGAGGCTTTCCATTGCACAGGGTAAAATAGATAGAAATTATAGTTGAGTTTGTATTGTATGTAACAAAAATAATATTGGCGATGAATTTAATTTTTTATTAAAATTAAATTGAATTTCATATTAAAATTAAATTGAATTTTTTATTAAAATTAAATTAAATTTTTTATTAAAATTAAATCAAATTTTTTATCAAAATTAAATTAATTGTTTTATTAAAATTAAATGCAAAATCAGGAAACTTTATATGTCATTATCATTTTCGCTAATATTATCAATGAATATAAGAGGATTTTGACAGTAAAAAGCAAAATTTGTAAATTCATATAAATTCTCAACAAAGGTGTATGTGTGTATTGCTAAATATGTATTTCATATATTGTATTGTATATTAGGCATTTTCCATTGTAAATATTGTAAATCAATGTCTATTGTATAGATATGTGTCTTGTCTATTTGGAATAAAGATATGTGATATATTAAAGATGACATTCATTTGGTAGTAAAGATGAAAATATAGACACAGAAACTTTTTTTCTCGCCAGAGTTAGATCAAGATATAACCTCCTGCTATTTTTCTGGTAATCAACTGAAATAAAAAGGAGACTATAATATAGACTGACTTTACATGAATTATTGACACCCATTATATATAAACATTGTTTGATAGTCATTGATATAACTTTCAATGCAGATCAGAGGACAAACGTGTGAAAAAAGTATTATATTCACTCACAGTCTTTGTTCTATGTATCGGACCCTTTGAATTTATTGTGCATGAGGTTATACCCGAAATTGTATCCCAATGACTTTATAAAAGAAACAGATAAACAATAATCAATAGCCATTTCAATAAGCATGTATTTAATAACCAAAACCCGTTTATCAAATATATTATATGCTATTGGACGTTTTGCTTCATCATTCCAGTAGTCCGGAATTTTCGGGTTTTAATACTTTTTAACTTCGCATTCAATTTTGCCTTCAACTGTTTTGACTCCAGCGCAACTGATGAGTGTGATATAGAAGAAATGGGCCTATGGCGCACAAAATTATAAGCCTGGTATATTTGATATTTTTTAGATGTATCTTACTTCCGTTATTCCCTCCGACAATTATTCTAACGGATTAATTCGTGTTGTTATATTTAAAAGAAAGGTCAAGCGACTTAATACAAAATTCTTCGAATATCAAAGTGTGATATGTAAACCAGATGAATTTAATATTTCTTCTGTTGAGAAACGAAATCACCCAAAATTAAATAAATAAAAAGGATATTTTTCTGATAATGGTAAAGCCAGAAAAGCGCTTAGGACGCATGAAATTCATACAGTGCTGTTTTCGTGTTTTACAGCATTGGGTCGATACCACTGCTGGTGGACTATCAATCTCCGGGGGTACCATCAGCTCAATAGTTAGTACTTCGGTACTGTTTTGATTTATAACAAACCCTTCATAAATCGCAGTTAAAGAATTTAGAAATTATTAAGAAACAAAGGTTTCAACTTCCTCAGGCAGAGTTGACCTTAGATGGGTTTGGTTATTATTTTAGGTCCTTTTTTATTATATAGCTCTTCAACTATTTCGGTTCTCATTCAACATTGGCTGTCAAATATTTGGCTTTGAACGTTCCTGATGAAGGTGAATCCTAAAAAGCACTTCGAGCGCTAACATTTAGAAAGTGTTGTTTCATTTTTTACAGCACTCGCCAAATTGCGCTGATGGCGGACTATCAGTCCCCGAGAGTATCATCAACTCAGTAGTCAGTACTTCGTATTGACATGATTTAAAAGAAACCTTTATTAAAAATTGTCCGTTTCTCAATTTATAAATTATTAAGAAACTAAGGTTTCAACTGATTCAGGCAAATTTGGCCTTAGATAGATTTGAATATTGTTGTTAGGTCCATTTCGGTCATATACCGCTTCTACTGTTTCGGTTCGTATACATCTTTGGCCTTCAAATATTCGGCTTTGAGCGTTCCTGATGAAGATGAATCAAGAAAAGTTCTTCGAACGCATGAAATTTTTAAAGTGTTGTTTTCACTATTTTTCAATGGAGTGCACGACTTACTAACTTGAATGTTGTATATCATTTTCGTAATTGTAATGCAACGTAATATTCCCTGTACATTCCAAATATTTGTGAGTCATAATTACTCATTGTTGGGTGAAGATATCATTATAGTTATGATCTTCTTGAACTGCGGAAAAAGTTGCTCCTTTTTTATAATGTATTCTGCGATTTAGTCTAAATATCATGCTTATAAGCTTACCATGTTCTAGTTCCACAAGGTTTACAAACATCGTAGACATGCTGACAACTTTGACGTGTGTAATCAAACACTGTACCGATAGCACAATCGTATTGGAATTGTCTCCCATAGTAACACCATATATAACCCCTGCACGATTCAGTAGGGTAGTACTTTTTTATATTCTGGTTACATTCAACAATCTGACATGACTTTTTGTTGAAACCATTTCCGGCGTTTGGACAGATTCCGTCCTTTATAAATCTTTCGCCCTTGCAAAGCATGTACCAAGGTGACCCTATCTCTGTATGAAGATTGGCTCCGTCTGGATACCCTTCACAATTTGGATGATGGAACTCACAGGGTGGGCCACGAACTCCAATGTGAGGGCGTGGATAGTATTGGCCTAGTATAACCAAACAATAAAATTATCATAAGTTAACATTAGACTTTTCTCAATATATGTAGATTAGATAAAACGGTCAATAAATCACATTATACAATGTATACAAATTCATTCAGCATGCTCAATGTACCACTGACAGTTCCAGGTGGAGAATGGTCCGGGGTTGAATCATTTAAATTTGAAATTATTTAGGCTGAATCTCTTAACACCCCTTTGATATGTTTAGATCCTCACCTTACTTTGTACCAAACTTAGCTTATTGTTAAAAAAAGGCCACATAAAGCGTGAAATCAAATTAATGTGACATGATTGCTAAAACAGACATAACTGGTTTGTTACAGAATATAAGTTCTCCCATAATATTTGTTCCAAAGAACTTTTGTCATATAACAAAAGTTCCATTGGGAACTTTCCTTATATAATATTTTATCCAATGCTATAAGAAAATTACCTTCACACAGAATAGAATATTACACAATGAAAGTTCCCAACGGAACTTTTGTTATATGCTAAAATTCTTTGTTCACACATTGTTGTCAATGTAATGGATTTATATGCGACTGTCATACAAGTGAGAGGTTTAGCTAGCTATAAAACTAAGTTTAATCCACCCTTTTTTACATAAGGAAATGCCTGTACCAAGTCAGGAATATGACAGTTGTTTTCCATTCGTTTGATGTGTTTGAGCTTTTGATTTTGCCATTTGGGACTTTCCGTTTTGAATTTTCCTTGGAGTTCGGTATTTTTGTTATTTTACATCATGGACAATGTTTTGACATTTTTCACCAATATGAAACTTCGAATTGGAACAAAAGTTCCCTACAACAAATATACTGATTTCTATCATGGTAGCAAATAAGTAACAACAAATGAGGCAAAAGCATTTTTAAACATATACATTGTATATACAAAACATTGTTTATATACAGGTATATGTGTTATATTATAAAAATTTATTATATGGTCAAAGTTCAGAGAATATATACCACAATATCCAAAATGATTGCTAGCTACAAATGTATGGAAATAAATTTCCTTTAATAAAGTATAGGCATTTTCATCTGAAATACAGGTCAATGTCATCCACAAGGTGAGGTGAGCAGTACTTAAGATGCAATCAGGTGTAAAAAAATCACACGGCACTCTTTCTTTAAAGGAACAATATTTGTTATATTATAAATGTTCCAGAAATATTGGTTATATTATAAATGTTCCAGGAATAGTTATCATGGTTATTAGATAATTAAAGTTCTAGGAATATTTATTGTATGATCAAAGTTCTAGGAATATATACTACAATATCCAAAATTATTTCTAGCTACAATTCATTAAAATTACAGTAATTAAGACGCAATTAGGTGTAAAACATCACATGACACTCTTTCTTTAAAGGATCAAATATTATGAAACCATATGATGTTTTAGTACCAGGAAAATATTTTATGAAGGTGGAAATAATATTATGTAATGTTTGTTCCCAAGAACTTCCATTATCTAAAGTTTTGTTCCAGGGGGGAATAAGTATTATGCGGACCAAATATATGTTCACAGTTTAATGTTCTTTGCGCTTACAGTGAGTTGCAATAACAAGACATATTAAACAAGCATATTTCCAAGTATTTCATGATAAAATTACTTCGTTTTTTATTTATTTATTTGATAAGATTTATAAGGAAATTTTTATTTTTATTTGACATAATTGTGAGGGTCCTGACATTTGTCCTTTTTTTTTTACTTACAGCATATGACATTCAATGAGATACTTTAATATATGTGTAGAACTTGTTTAGTTTATTGTTGACGTTGACAAACCAAACTTATTATTTCTGTATATTTTATATAAAATACTTGACATACGTTTTATTTTTGTATCATGTGATGAAGAAAAACAACCATAAAAAGAAAAGGCTTAACAAAATTATAGGAATTTGATTGCGAAGGAAAATAAACAACATCTTAGGGAATAGTTAATTGCCATGGATTCAAGTGCCAAGTGGCTTAGATTGAACCTTATTTCTATGGGAAGTCAAAGCTTCAGTGTGGTTCAATGACTGCGATATGTATAAGTGGCAAACTAGTGTCGCAAACTAATTTTCAGTAAATTGTAAAAAGACGAAGTTTATACAGGTTTTAATGATTGAGATATTTTTGTTTGCTTAACATCAAGTGACAAACATGTCATGCATATTCAGCAAGTTCAGGAGAAAAAAATAACAATTAGCCAAATCATATAGCTTCTCCAGAATGTTTTTTCCAGGATAAGAGCACTACTTACGACTGTAAAGGGAAAGCGTGTTAGACAGGGGCTGACATTTTGTCTTGCTACAGTCACTATGGACATCTTGCAGAGTAGTTTTAGAGAGGTTAAATTTGTTGGTTCATAAAACAAGATGTTTGTACCTACGTTGCCAATTTTTATGGATCACAGATGGACTAAATATTTTTAAGTTAATAATGAAGAATGCGTGAGTAAAGTGTGAATAGGTTTAATATTTGGACCACCTTTACTCTTAATTTAAACTTTGGCAAAAACGTTGTATATCTTATCTATTTTTATTGTCAAAAGTTTGCTTGATTGCCTCATTGGAAGCTACGCTGGTGAATTGTATGGTTGTATGTAGACGTTACGCGTCTGACATAGTTAAACGCCTGATGACTTATCACAAAATGCATTTATCAATTAGTAAACGTACACCTTAAATATCTCAACGTGTTTTTATTTTGAAATCATTTTAACCATAAGATCTTATATCATTTTATTACCAGGATAAGTCTAATCTCGTTCATACACTCATGATTATAATAGAAATATATTACTTCCTTTTTAGCGACTGCCTCAAAATGACATCAAACTTATATCTTCCATACCAATATCATAAAGTACTAAAGCCTATACATGTATTGTAGCTTATTTTAAAGTACAGAAGCCTTTAGATGCATTGTGGCTTATGGTAAAGTACTGATGCCGATATATGTATTGTTGCTTATTGTATTGTACTGATGCCGATATATGTATTGTTGCTTCTTATATACTATTTAGGCCACAGCCATTATGGGAATGGTTGCTCCTTATAAAGTATTTAGGCTTCAGCCTATATAGTAACGGTTACTTCTTATAAAGAATTTAAACTTCAGTGCATACAAGTCATGCATTGTTACTTCTTATAAAGTATTTATGCTTCAGCCTATATAGGAATTGTTGCTTTTTATAAAGTATTTTGGCTTCAGCCTATACAAGTCACGCATTGTTACTTCTTATAAAGTATTTTAGCTTCATTCTATATAGGAAAAGTTGCTTCTTATAAAGTATATTTGCTTCAGCCTATAGTAGTCACATATTATTACAGCTTATTAAGTATTAAGGGTTCAGCTTATTAAGGAATGGTTGTTTCTTATAAAGTATTTTGGCTTCAGCCTATACAAGTCACGCATTGTTATTTAGGCTTCAGCGTTGTTGTTGCTTCAAATAAAGTAAATAGGCTCCAACATATTAATCACGGATTGTAACTTCTTATAAAGTATATGGGTTTATGTGTATACAAGTATTGTTAGCAGTGTTATAATGATGATAAGCAGCCAATAGTGCAGGTGGTGAACGAGTACGTTTTGAATGGTTAACCTCTTATAGACTGGCGATCTTGGTTATAGGTAGAGGCTTTGTGACAAAGATATGCATAAAATTTATCCGTAGATAGAGCAGCCATTTTATTTGTAAATACGTTGTATCATGCACATTTATTCCACATCTCAGTATCTTCCATAAAAAGAAAACCAGAAATAACATTTATGTAAAATTTATTTTTTTTCATTTTCATCACCACCTGGCTGCTGACAAGGACATGCAGACTGCAATTAAATAGTATTTAAGTGTTGAAATACATCGAGTTCTTGTAGAGATGGGAAAATGGCCAATGTCTTGACTACATTGGTATTTGACTGAAGTCAGTCAGTACGAGATAGGGTGGGTTGGTGACAAGGGTATGCATGAAATTGATCAGTAGATAGAGCAGTCATTCTATTTGTTAATACATTGTCTCATGCACATTTATTCCACATCCAAGTATTTATCCATTAAAACCCTCCACATAACTTCTCTTTATCATTAAAGTGTGACTATATTCCAAGCTGCTAATCGTTCTCTATATGGGATTTTATATTTTGCTGCTTTGTTGGATCGTTGTTTCATGGAAAATTATTCCACATATTTTCTCTTTATTATGAAAGGATTATTATATATCAAGCTGCTAGACATTCTCTGTATTGGATTTTGTATTTTGTTGTTTTGTTAAAAATCGTTGTCTCATTGACAATTATTCCACCTCTCAGTATTTTCCATATAATGAAAACTAGAAATAACATATAAAAACTTATTTACACATCTTCAGCACCACCTTGTCGGTAAAGTAACAGAGTATCAACCAGTACTATAGTATATATAAAACAGATATCAGAATACTACAAAAAGTCCACATAAACCATGAAACACCAAATATTTTTGAAAACTTATATCTCGAGTTTAACACAGTATTACATTTTTGAGAACAAAGCAACAAATTTTACAAAATTAAGTTTAGTATTAATAAAATGTGTTACTTTGTTCCAAAACACAATAAAGTGTCACTAGACTTTTACAACCAATATCAATACATGCATATTTCTCCTGAGTACCATAACAGTATAAAAGTTGGCAAATGTAAATGAATTTCCTTTAAAACTGGTATGATTTGATTAAATTATTGACTAGAAAAAAACAATCACATCCATACATATGCCTTTGAGTATCACGTCCAATAATTAAAAAAAATAAAAATTTAAAAACGTCTATTAATTACTATACATAAAAGTGCACTACAATGAAAGACATTTCTTCTGTATAAAGTATCAAAATACTGACACCGTAAAAAGAAGATAATTTCTCAATAAGTATCACAACCCAGTAAACCTAAGTTTACGGCACCATTAAAATGATGAGATGCTGTGAATTTCTCAACATGAAAGCA